CTGTTAAGAACTTCCCATGTGTTATGTGACTGAAACTGGCTACAGCCTAGGCATTAAATGTATTTATGGCTCCATTTTACAAATGCAGATAGAAGACCTAGAGAAACCAAATAACCTGCCTAAGATTACAAGGCAAGTGATGAAACTGGAATTAAACCTAGTCAGTTAAATTCGAAGCCAGATTCTTAACTGCCTGCAGCTGTTATGGAACTTCGGGGCATTGAAAGGAGTCTACCTGCCCTTACACTGAAGTAGCAAGGATTCTTCTAGGATTAAAAACTTGTCCCAAAGTCAGAAAGCCAGTTAATGATGGGCTGGAGCCAGAATCCAGGTACCCAAAGCCAAAGGCAGACCTTTCTTCATTCCACCAAGCTCCAGTTCTTAGATTACAAGTTTAAATTTCTTTGGGGATAGCCTGAGTTAGCATTTTAGAATTGGGGTCAACAGGTTTCTGATTAGCCAGCTCGAGAGCACCTATTTCATATACCCAAAGTAGTGCACCTGAAGCAGGCTCTTCCTTCTTCTTCTTAGGCTGAAGGCTTCCTCCATTGGTCACTTCAAATGTGGTTCCATAACTATGGCCAATGACGTTATCCAGATAGAACCACTGTTTTTCAAAAGTTACTTTTCTAGGGAAGAAAATGCAATTAGCTGAATCTCATTTGCATTCAGTATAGAAAAAAAAAGTTTAATCAAGTTTATTTCAAAACTGGTCTCCATAAGAATGATCAGCAGCATTACCTCTGAACATAAACTGACAAATGAACTAAAGAGAACTGGGTTGGGGCAGAGACATAAAATTAGTAAGAACATATAAAAACACTGAATTTGGAAGGAGAAACAAGGACAGAAGACCTCCTTCTTCTGAGGCATTGGTCTGGCTCCAATTTTGCACTGACAGGATGTCCAGACTCACAGCTTTGTGGATTTCTTGTACAGCATAAAGGGTCACCGAGACTGCCAGGCCACTGGACACACACCGTCACACTACTTGCAACTCTAACTAGAAAACTCTTGAAACTGAACTATCATTGGGATGACAGGGATTCAACAAATTCCCTGGTCTAACTGGCTATTTTCTTTCAAAATTATCTAGTAAAAACAGAGTTGCCTAGTTGGCTTAGTCAGTAGAGAATGAGATTCTTGATTTCAGGGTCATGAATTCAAGCCCCACACTGGGTATGGAGTCTACTTAACATACAAACAAACAAATTATCTAGTAAAGGCAAATTATATTTACAAGTAAATATCATTGACAATCTATACATTTCGAAATGGTGCTTAACACTGACAATGCTCTACTGAGGATCAGGCAACATCAGCTTTCCCCATTACCTGGATTTTCATATTATCATTTAAAAGGAAAATCCCACAAAAGCAAAAAAAAATTTTTCCCAAAAAAGAAAACTAATATCCACTGAGTGTTGACCAGTGGCTAGGCAGTATGTGCCAGTGTGTTTCATACTTTTTTATTTAATTCTCACAGTAATCCTAGGACATAGCTCCTTCCAGAAGAGCAATCTGAGCTTAGGGAAAAGTATCTTGTCCAAGATTCACAGTTACAAAGTGGAAGCTGGGATTAAAATCCGGGTCTGCCTGACCCCAAAGCCTGCTTCCTTCTACCATACCACAGTCTGCTCCAGAAAAGGCTAATGGATCTCAGGAAGCCCTGCCTAATTTTAGGACATGACCCATGTCTACAGAACTCTGAATCCTGGAAGACACATACTGTTTAATTTTGTTTGTCCCCCACCTACACCTTCTTCTCCTTTCTCTGTGCCCCAGGAGTCTATGACAGATACACAGACCACATCACCCAGACTCCACTGCCAGAACTTTCCCACCATTACTAGACCCTGGGTGCGTCACCATTCTCTGCTGGTTCTCTAAACCTTCCCACACCACTGTATGCGTATGTGTCACATCTTCATTAAATCTCCTCACTTGAGTCATCCGAGCGAACTCCTGTGAGATCCTAAGTGATCCAGATAGGGTCAATTCTTATTCTTTGCTAGGTGCCCAGTTTCTATAAAGTAACAGAATATAACAGATTTTTAAAATATTTGCTGACATAAGTCCAGTCAATTCAGTTGAAACTCAGTTCAGCCCAGACGTGCACTCCATATGCTCACCCCTTGAGCACCCTGGTGCTAAGGAAACACTGAGCTGGGTGGGGTTTACCCTTCTCAAGGCTGGTCTGATATTCAAAGAAGGGTGGGTCGCTCAAACTGATGCGTGGCAAGAGGTCACTGCCCCAGTCAGGAAAATTGGGCCAGGCCGAAGAATGTGATGCCATGTCTTCGCTGAGAAGGAGTGGGATTTGCAGAGTCTTCTCAAAAAGTCAGATTGCTTCTGCCCATCCAGATGCATACAGACCCAAAAAAAAGTGAAGGGAGAATCTGCCCTGGGATGTAGACGAGCTCAGAGGGTCATATACTAAATAAAATGGCAACTAATGCACTGGCTTCTGCCAAGAAAAGTAATGAAAAGTGTTTCCAAAGAAGTATGTCTCGAGTGCTTCCAGAGAACTTTTTGAAATGAAGATGTTATTACCTGCCTTATTGTTAATGGAAAAGCTTTGTCTTAAAAAAAAAAAAAAACCCCACATTAACAACCACGTTTTAAAATTAACCAACTTAAAAGTATGAGAAAGAAAAGGAAGAAAAACCAAAATTTCACCTGCATGGTCATTATACAGCTGTGTAAACTTTGGTATCATTTCATCAAACTTACAAGGACTGTGCTGCACCGCTGTACTTCAATTAAATAGTTTAAATAATTAGCACTGGCTCTTTCCAAAAAATATATACTTGAAGGCTGGCCCATATTTTTAATCAGAAATTCTAAAGAGAAAATGGTGCAGATATTATATTTGTGGACTAAAGGAACCCCCCCCATATTTCTTTGTCTTTACTAAACTGATTCTTCTTTTTTTTTTTTTTTTTTAAAGATTTTACTTATTTATTTGAGAGAAAGACAGTGAGAGAGAGCATGAGAGGGGAGAAGATCAGAGGGAGAAGCAGACTCCCCGTGGAGCTGGGAGCCACATGTGGGACTCCATCCCAGGATTCCAGGATCATGACCTGAGCCGAAGACAGTTGCTTAACCAACTGAGCCACTCAGGCGCCCTCCTAAACTGATTCTTATGCAATAGACTTGGCTGTCACCAGCATGCTGCTTTGGGGACTGTTACTTGACTATTTTCTAATGACACCTGTTTCACTTTAAATACCAATCAACAGTTTGGTTCACAGAGGAGTAAAATAAGTCACCTCATGTGCGCACTAAGAAACTCCCAATCTACCACTACGTGGCCTATGGTCTGCAGAAAGCTGTTCTCTTGACACTGAACTCAACTTATGTCATTGTCAAAAGTACCATAATAACCTAACTCAAAAGAAAGTTTGGTTGTACTTTTCAGAGAATTAATGGAAACACCTCAATACATTTCAGCATTAATGAGCTGTTAGGGGGTAACAACCTCACCACCCCTGCCAAGAAGCTACCAAAAATTCCCACTTTTCTAATATTAAAACAGAGCTGTAACTAATCAACAGGATCAAAAATCAAGCATAATTTCAAGTTCTGAGACCTTGAGCAAACTGCTTTTGAGAAATGTAACTTTCCTAGACCTGGCATCCCTTCCTGTAAAGTGAAGGAACGCTAGAGTGATCCTATGGGCTATGAGAAGTTGTTCTCCAACATTATTACGTCTAACAGTTATTCCAGTTTGGACAGAGAGAAGAGCCTGAGGGACAGAAAAGGTCGGAGAGATTTCGTTTTTTGTGGGATTGATCCTGCTCAGGAAATAGGGACTAAGGCAAGGGAAAAGGCAAGGGAGGGGAGGACCTTGAGAGGCAAGGATATCAGAGGATGATTGATGGGTTCTTTGAGGTAACAGGAGAGAACATCTCACGGACTTGGAAGAACCCTAGGACAGAAGGAAATGTAAGCGTGGGGAGCGGGCACCTGAGCACCCGAGGGGCAAGAATGGGAAAGGGACCCTGTGGAAAGATTGAGAGGGATGTTGAGGGCAGAAGGCCAGATTTGAAATCATGGAAGGAGTACTCTGCGGGAAGACAGGAGTGATAGATGAGACCCCAAGGGCCGAGAATGGGATGTTGGGGGAAAAGACCAAAAGGAAATAACGAAAGAGGAGGTTGGGAATCTACAGAATCAAGAATGGGACTCTGGTGGAAGGGGCTCTGTGGGAAGACCTGGGGGAAGGAGTAACGAGAAAATGGGGACGGGGACCCCTAAGGCCAGCGACCTGACTTACTTTCTCCGCTGGACTTGCACTGCTTTGAACACATCTTCCCGTTTCAGCACCACGAAGTCGCCGTCGCGGATGCGGTGGTCCCCGGGATGCGGTGGCTGTGGGCCCGGCAGTTCTCCTGAGCCCTCCATGGAGCTTAGCCGGTCTCGGGGTTCTGCAGCGTCTCTCCCGCCCCCAGCGCCCCGCCCCTCGTGCTCTGCTGTCGCCGCGGCCAGCCTCACTACCACAAGCCGAGTGGACGCAGAACCCTCCGACCGGCACCGCCCCCACGTGCTGTGCGCCGCTTCCGCTTTCCGGTCGGAACCTCCGGACGGCTTCCGGCAGCCACACGGTTTCCGCCTGGCCGAACTCCCGCATTGGCTGCACTCTGTTCCGCCCCTCTCGTCTCGCCGTTCCTTGGGCGGAAGTTGCGTCACAGGCGCGCCAAAAAAGAATTTGGAAGCCGACGAGTTCAGGTTGAGTGGCTAAACATCTTTCCGCGAGCCTCTGAGGTGTAGGGGGAAACAGGTCCCCGAGCTGCTCCAACAGATGAGATTTGGTCCCTGCGCGAGGACGTCAGGAGGACTGCGACCGAAGGGACTTCGGCTGGAGTCACCCGAGGAGCTCAGACCTCAGTCTCTTCTTGTCCCCATTTGTCTCTCCCCCAACCCCTCTACGGAACGAGGGGAGAGCCAGGCGGGGCGCACCAGCTGCCACCCAGGGCCCTGCCCAGCTGAGAACCGAGAGAGCTCTGGGACCTCTATTTTTTGCAAGTAAGAACAGCGTGAGGAGACCTAAATGAAGTAGGATATTTAACGAAGCACAGCAGACGCCGGGTGGCTCCTTTACTCAGTTTTGCAGTCGTATTTCTTGTGTTTGTGTTGGGATTTTTACTAGCTGTGTTCACTGTTCTCATTTGGGAAAGATACGGTATGTAGCGTTCTCGAAGGGGCGCTTCGTCTTGAGTTTGTGAAGACGGAGTTGGGAGCTCACTACTGCCACCAAATAACTTGAATCTTGATCAGTTTCTTGGGGCTTCAGTTTCCTAACTTGCCATATGGTCTGGACGATTATCAGTTTTGTCTTGTCCCAACATCGTGAACTTGTTTGGGTATTAACTTATTTATTAATTAAATCCCTTCAGACAGATTTGGATACAGTCTTTTGTGAAGAATTGCACCCCAGTGTTCGGATATATATATATTTTTTGTTTTTAATCCTTGGGATAGGAACTGTTTTTAAAAATAGGTTTTATTTTTTAGAACAGTTTTAGTTTACAGAAATAATGGCACAGAAATTGCAGACAGTTCCTTATAATTTTCTCTTCTCTCCCCTCAGCCCGGGTTCCCCTTGTTAACACCCTGCAATAGTGTGCTACGTTTGCTGCAATTAATGGACCAGTATTGGTGCATTATTACTAGCTAAAGTCCAGAGTTTATGTTAGGGTTCACTTTCTGTAGTGCAATTCCATGGGCTTTGACAAATGCATAATATTGTATATCCACCACTAAAGGATCATACAGAATCATCTCACTGCTCTAAATTTGCCCTGTGCTCCACCCATATGAGTTATTTCAAAACCCATTTTATAGGTCACTTATATTTTGAATCTTTGATACTTAGCCAGAACTATCTTGGAGTTTAAAAAAAAATGAGTATCTTGCTATGTACAAAACAAAATGTGAAGAGATAATTAGCAAAATAAAAAGGATTATATTAACAAATACAGGTGTATTATCAAAAAAAACTATTGCATTTCAGCAAATTTATCTAAAAACTAAATTTATCTAGTCAATATTCACCTAGAAATGATCTTTATTCTGTTGTCTTTTTAAGAAGTTAAGGTCCAGAAAATTAACTTCTTTCCCATTTCACTCCTACAGAGAGGAAAGATCGAAATGTGTATGTACTATGTCCCACTCCTATGCTTCTCCAGAAAGGTCTACATTAGTTGCCTATGTAAGAATATCCTTGTATCTCTGATAAAAGTGGATAGGACATGCAGGATTGACTATGTATAAGGGGCTGTGATGGCAATGTATTCCTAGTGTCACAGGTCAGGATATGTTCAGCCAGTGCTGCTCTTTAATAAGTCTAAAACACTATAAACAAGTCATCTCAGTGTTATTGTGTTATTTTCATTTCTATAGTAGGCACTCCTTGCAAACAGGTACAGTACTTTGTTTTTATACCATGAACATTCAGTATACTTGGTGAAGCACCATGGATATACCTTAAAAAGAGATGGGGCCATTTGCAATGATATGAATAGAGTTAGTATAATGCTAAGCAAAGTAAGTCAGAGAAAGACAAATATCATTTCACTCATATGTGTAATTAGAAACAAATGAGCGGAGGTTGTGGGGGGAGAAAAACCAAGAAACAGACTCATATTAACTAGAGAGAACAAACTGATGGTTACCTCAGGAATGTGGGTCAGGGGATAGGTGAAATAGGTGATAATGGGATTAAGGAGTACACTTGTTGTGGTGAGCACCAGGCTTGTATGGAAGTGTTGAATCACTATGTGGTACATCTGAAACATACTACACTGCATGTTAACTAATTGGAATTAAAAAGAAGGAAAAAAAGAGAGATGGGAATTAGAAGGATATCTGCAGAATGTTTGAAGCTACATCTCATATTACCATAGTGTACACTGTTGCAGGCCTGTTTGCTAATCTCAAACTAGAATACATTAATTTTTGGGGTGCGTGAGTTGCTCAGTGGGTTGAGCCTCTGCCTTCTGCTCAAGTCATGATCTTAGGCTCCTGGGATTGACCACCGCGTCCGGCTCTCTGCTCGGCGGGAAGCCTGCTTCCCCCTCTCTCTCTGCCTGCCTGTCAGCCTGCGTGTGATCTCTGCCTGTCGAATAAATAAATAAAATATTTTTGAAAAAAAAAAGTTTTAGAATACATTAATTTTCTCTTATTTACTATGTTAATACATTTTGAGCACTGTTTTTACTGTTATTTTGATGAAGATTTTTTTCTTAGTCTTAGAAAATATGAATGGAGACTATAGAGGCAGAGGATTTGGACGAGGAAGATTTCAAAGCTGGAAAAGAGGAAGAGGTGGTGGGAGTTTCACAGGAAAATGGAGAGAGAGAGAACGTAGACCTGACCTGAATAAAACCACAAGAAAACATACTTCTGGTAGGGGAGGTCAAATATTGTTCAACTTTTTTTTCCCTCAAGAGGGAAAGTATGTCTGTCCTACAAAGTAGTTTAACTTAAATTTCAGTCTTATTTGATGTTATTCATTAAAGTAGCATTTAACCGTTAAGATAAAATATTTTTACTGAAACGTGTAACTTAACCTGTAACTACTATATATTTTGTCAGCTTTTCATTGCTGGAAGGAGAAGCAAATTGGAAAAAAATGTAATATATTTCTACTGACATAGCTCTTGCTTCGACAGCACATATACTGTTTCTGCTAACATAGTATTCTGAGGGTTTTTTGTTTGTTTGTTTTTCAGAACAAACCCCACAGTCTTTGCTACTGCAATCAACATTGGACCAATTAATACCCTATAAAGGCTGGAAGCTTTATTTCTCTGAAGGTAGAGTTAAAAGTGCAAAAAGTACCATAAATTCTATTTTCATAACTTGTCTTTGGACAGCTCATATTATTAAAATTCACTTGGCTTACTGATAGGTACCACCTTCTTTATTTTAGTTCACCCAAACAAATCATGTTTATTTCAAGAATATTTTTAGGTTTTATATGAGGAAAGCAGAAACCACTCTAAGTATTTCAAAAAGAGGATGTAATACAGGGAATTGAATATACAGATGGAAGTCTAAAAGAGCAAAGGGGGAACACTGAGGTAAGCCCCCAGATAATAGTAGCTTCTGGAAGCAGCAACCATCCTTATGGCTGAGGGTACAAAAGGTAAGAAGTTCTGAGGTTGCCAGGACCTAGGAATTCAAAGGAAGGGCTGTTACTTCATCCTCTGAGGGCACCCTGCAAAGCTGTGCTTGGACCTCTGAAGGTTACCCTTCACACCTGTGCTCAGACCACCACAGTGAATGAAGCTGCTTGTGGCTGGTAGCTCTGGTGGGAGGACTACATGGCTGATGTGCAGAGCTGGAGGCTGGAACTACAGCTATTTTCTGCAGCTGGAGAGATGCTGAAAAGAATTAGAAACAAAAATAGAATCCTTTTTTGTTGCCACCTTCCAGTCTTTAAAGTGCCTTCAGTTGGCAAAACCTAGAGGAAATCTGGGAAATGCGCTGTGCAGATCTCGATCATAGCATCACAGAGCAGAAAATAGAACAGCAGGCTTGGAATGGAGAGACCATCAACAGTGGTTTGTGTAGAAACACACTTAAGGGATCTCCCTTTTAATAATCAAGAACGTCAGCTAACATCATATACCTGTTTTTTTGGTTTGGAGACTAGCCTTTTCTGCATTCTTAGAGTTTCTGTGTTATATCTTTTATTAGTTATGGGTTACATGGTCATATATATTTGTGAGTTATTTTCCCACTAGATTGTGTACTTCTTTAAGGCAAGGATCTTGGCCCATAGCAAGCATTCAGTATTCATTTGGTGAATGAATAAAGCGCTTTACAAATGTTTTCTGTATTGAGAGTCGGGTTTTTTTTTTTTTCTTTTCTATTATATACACACATGTGTTTCATAAGTAGTCTGTCTTTTGTTGCTTTAGGATGCATTAGCTACCAGCACCTGCAATATGTGCCTAGCAGTTAGCCCAGAACATTAGAAGTGATCTCTAGACTGGTCCTAAAGATGAGTTCAGGGGCTGCCTTAGGTTTAATCATCTGTACTTACAAACTGCTTCACAGTATTATTTCTCTGTGGAAGACCAATTTGAAAATGTTCTAGAACTTTACCCTGTAAAGGTTTTAGGAACAGAGTGAAGTGTAGTGATCTCTCTCCCCTGATTTCAGGATGTGGCAGTTTGGACTAGTAGAATTTACTTTGTAAAGACTTACTGTCTTTATCTCTGTTTCTGAGTAAGAATTTATTAATCATGTGTCTAGCTTTGGCTTTGTTATAATTATATATATATAATTATAAAATAATTTGTTATAATTGTTATAATTTTAATTTTAAGCTTTATTATGTAAGCTATTTGAACTACTAGGTCCTATTAAGTGTCAAAGGTTCGGTACAAAGGTTCCCAGATGTTGGTGCTTTTAGAGAGAGTCACTTCCTATCTGCATTTAAGATTATGCAGACCTAAACTTGTTTTAGAATCTTAACTGTTCACTCAGTACTTACCTATATTCTTACGAAAATGTAATCAGAATGCAAAGTAATTGGAAAAAGTCTTTTAGCATGTATACACATTTCTTCCATCTCATGAAAAATACATCTGTACACATGTGATTATTAGCGCTAATGCCATTTTGTTTGGATTAGTTTACAGCAGTAGCTCTCCTTTGATTCAGAAGATTCAAGCATTTGAACATTTTTTCACAAGTCGTATTGATCTATATGATAAGGTAAGATTCCTGTACAGCAAAGCTACTAGTCCACATTTATGTGTTGTTTTCTTGAACAATGTATTTGAGGTATTATGATCAGTAGATGCTGCAGCCAGACTGCCTTGATCCAGATCCCAGCTCTGCCACTTATTTGCAGTGTGGACTTGAGTGTATTTCTTAAGTTCTTTGTACCTTGGTTTTCTTATGTATCAGTTGGGCATAATAGTATTAATACCACCAAGGGCTGTTAAGAGGCGTAAATAAGGGGCGCCTGGGTGGCTCAGTGGGTTGAAGCCTCTGCCTTCGGCTCAGGTCATGATCCCAGGGTCCTGGGATAGAGCCCCGAATTGGGCTTTCTGCTCAGCAGGGAGCCTGCTTCCCTTCCTCTCTCTCTGCCTGCCTCTCTGCCAGCTTGTAATCTCTGTCTGTCAAATAAATAAATAAAATCTTTAAAAAAAAAGGAGGCATAAATAAGTTAATATATTTTAAATACTTTAAGTGGTACAAAGCTTACTGTACTTACTCATTGTTATCACTGTATAAACATGCTTTTTCAAAGTGTGTAATTGAATGTTTAGTTATGTTAGTTAACTTAAAAAAACCATCATTGCTTTCATGCCTTAATATTTTCTAGGATGAAATAGAACGAAAGGGAAGTATTTTGGTGGATTTTAAAGAACTGACAGAAGACGATGAAATGGCTGACTTGATACCAAATATAGCAAATGAGTTGAGGGATACACCTGAGAAAACCTTGGCTTGCATGGGTCTGGCAATACATCAGGTAAAGACTTATCTTGTCTGGACTCTGTCAAAAAAAAAATTTTTTTTTTAAAGATTTTATTTATTTATTTGACAGAGGGAGATCACAAGTAGACAGAGAGGCAGGCAGAGAGAGAGAGAGAGAGAGAGAGAGAAGCGGACTCCCTGCTGAGCAGAGAGCCCGATGCAGGACTCGATCCCAGGACCCTGAGATCATGACCTGAGCCGAAGGCAGTGGCTTAACCCACTGAGCCACCCAGGTGCCCCTCTGTCAAAATTTTAAAGGAAGATTTTACAATAACAGTACACTTTCTAAAAGATACCATTCATTTTGTATACAACAGCTTATCTAAATACAACATTTATTTGATTTGATTTAGTTTAGTCTATTGAAGATAATACAGAAATTAAAGAGCTCCCTGGAAACAGTCTCATAGGGAAGATAAGACAAGGATTGTGTTATCAGTTATGAACTTGGAAAGCAACCTCAGATTTAGTTTCCTATGACATGAGGCAAGTCACTTACTCTCCCTGAGAGTCTCCATATATAAACTGAAAATGATAGTATGTGCTGTGTCTGCCTGACTTTTTCCCAGGCTAGGTGACAAAACACATGTGAAAGTATTTAGGCTGCCAAAGAGGTAAATGCTTCAAAGTAAAGAGTAGTAGATCTCAGAACAGGCACGGATAAAGTATTGTCTGTGGATAAAGTACTGGCTGTATTCAGAGATAGAGATAAGACCCTCAGTGAGTGGGGAGGAATGGGGAAAGCTCAGAGGAAGACTTTGTAGAGATGGTACAGTTATGATGGGTCTTAAAGTTGTATCTGAGAAGTGCACATAGAGCAGAGGAGGTAATGGTAGCGGGGTGCAAGGAATAGTTCATTACAAAGATGTGTACACTGTGTACACTGCTTTCTGGTCTCTACTGGAGACCAGAAACCTTGGTGTTGTCTTCAGAGTCCTCTCATTAGTTCTCTGTGTCCAAGTCACCACATTCTTTCATTTCTATTTCTGAAACATCTCTTAAATCCCCCTCTTTTCCACCTTTACTGCGTCAGTCTTAAACCTTCATTATGTTTCCTAAACTTGCTGGACCTGGTAGAACATGATCTGTCTTTGGAAACTGGTGACTTTTCTGCAAAGTGAAATCTAAATCCACTCTGTGGCATTGAAGGCCTTCCATGATCTAGTTCAACTTCCTCCACTTTCACTCACTATCATTCAGCTAAGCTGAGTTCTCCCCAGGATTCTTTCAATAGTCTGATCTCTTACACATGCTGTCCCTTAACCATGGAATGCCCTCTTGCATTGCATGTCCAAATTTGGGGGGTGTGATGCTATTGTCTCTCCATGAAACCTTTCTCATGGCCTTTTCTTCAAAATTTGCATAGTGTTTTGTCTTTAAATCTTTATGGTCTTTGTAACAATCAGAGCTATGTATGTGCATCTCATTTTCACTCTTAGATTGTCCGCATACTGCTTTATATACAAGAGGTTATTAAATACTTATTTAATGTCAATGCCAGGGGAGCAGTTATTGAGTATTTCAAAAGTCATCTTTATCTTTTCTGTCTTAATAAATCACTGAATATGGAGAAATAGAAAAATGTTTCCACCAGAGCCTGTCCAGGAGGTAATAATAGCTTTAGGGCCCACTGTAACAACTTTTACTATTAAGCTTAGTTTGGACGGAAAGTAGTAGATAGGGATGCTGGAGTTTTCCAGTCCAGGGACCACAAAATCCCAGGTAAAACAATCCACTATAAAGTAAGTAGTCATAATTAAGTATCAGAGTTTTAAAGGGCTGTTAGAGTTCTGTTAATATTCTGCTCTGAACTGTTTATATTCATAAACTTCATATTTTCTGTAAAAGAGTTCTGCTTCAAGAGGATGTTTTGTTTTCCAACTTTTAAGTAAATACTTGTCCTGTTTAGGTGTTAACAAGGGACCTTGAAAGGCATGCAGCTGAATTACAAGCCCAAGAAGGATTGTCTAGGGATGGGGAAACAATAGTAAATGTGCCACATATTCATGCAAGGTGAGGATTTGCTAGTATTGAAGTAATATTTAGAATCTCACATTTAAGACTTTTAAGAATGAGAACCTTGTTTTATAAAGCCAAAGAAATTGGTAAAAAGGATATGAGTTCTTTGCTATCTCACTGGTTATAACACCCAAGTGAACCCCCTGAGCATTCTTAAGAGATCATGACAAAAATAAACTTTTCCTTTCTAAATAAGGTGTTTTCCCAACCTTCATATCTTTATAAACATTGATTTTGGGTGTATACTTATCAAGTCCCTGCTATTTAATACTCTATATAATACACTAAGTGGTGTGATTGTAATTTGTTGCATTTACTAAGTTTTTGTTAGACACAGAGCAAATTGCATTTTGTTTTTCTTTAATTCATCTTTATTTTAAGATTTTAAATTCTCATTAGAAGAAATGAATAAGATAATTACTAGGGTTTTTTTCTTTTCCTGAATTTATAGAAGACATTGTGTTAACAGTTTTTGAAAAAGAAGTTAGAAACTGAAAAGTCACTTTTTTGTTGCCAAAATTTTTCTGTTGGTATTATTTTTTTCCTTTTTTCCCTTAGAGAACAGCCAATGAAATAAGAAAAGGGAAGATTTAGCATTTTTTAATCTTTAAGAATGATTTAATTCTTGTGAAATTTCTGATGTGAAGGGATGATACGGTTGGAGTACTCCAGTCGCTCCTAAAAGGAAGTTGTGAAGATAGAGATAATGTCCACTGTTGGTTCATTTGTAAATTCACAGATAAATACATTCTTGTTTTTGTTTCTAGGGTCTATAACTATGAGCCATTGACACAGCTCAAGAATGTCCGGGCAAATTACTATGGAAAATACATTGCTCTGAGAGGGACAGTGGTTCGAGTCAGTAATATAAAGCCTCTTTGCACCAAGATGGCTTTTCTTTGTGCTGCATGTGGAGAAGTTCAAGGTTTTTCTCTTCCAGATGGAAAGTATAATCTTCCCACAAAGGTAATATGTTCTTTAACTTAATTATTTATTTTGGCAAAGAAGGCAAATCAGTTCACAGAAAACATTTTCCAGTGTTTCTGAACACAGAGTTTATTTTTATTTTTAACTTTCAGTTTTTAAATTATGAAATACTTAAGGGTATAGAAAATAAAGAAATAAAACATTAATCACTACCCAGAAATTACATTTTGCCAATTCCAGATATATTTTTAAAGATAAAAATAAAGCATTACTGGTGGTGATTAGTGTCTCTTGTAGCCCCTTGCTTATACCATTCCCAGGGATAATCATTATTCTGAAGTTAATGTGTATTCTTTCTATTCAAATTTTTATATTTTGACTTTAATAGGTATACACATCAAGTTTTCTTTATTCTGCTGTCTGAAAGTGAGGTGTTCCTTTTTTATTAATTTCTTTAGACTATAGATCTTAAAGCCATAGAAAAGTGAATATCTGTATACCCACCATTTTGAATTGGCAAATATTAATATTTTGTAATTTTAGCTTAAATTTTTAAACATAAAATACCAAGTATTAGAGTTGAAGTTTCTTCTTTGTTGCCCTCACCAGTTCCATGCACTTTTTTCCATCCTCAAAGGGAGCCACTTTCTGAAATTAGCATGAGTTCTTCCAGTTTGCATTCTCATACCTGACTATATACCTGGAGGGTTTGTTTTGTTGTGTTTGTTTTTACAAAAATGATAGACTGAATGTAACATTCTGCCAATTTTTTTTTCACTTGGTTATTTTGGACTTTACCTATCTTAATACACACCTAGTTCTTTCATCTTTACTATTGTGGAGTATTCCGTTGAATGAATAGTCACTATTTATCCATTCTCCTGGTGGACATTTGTATTGTTTCCAGTTTTTTTACAGTTATATGATGCTGCAGAGACATTCTTGCACATGTCTCCTTAGCAGAAGACTTTCTCAGTAGTGGGATATACTTATTGTTAACTATGAGATGTTGCCAAAAAACTTTCCAGAGTTGTTGGTCCCAGCTTACACCCCTCTTGGTAGTGTTAAACAATTGCCATTTCTCTGTATTCTCATCAACACTTGGTATTGTTAGACTCTTTAGATTTTGGCGGGCTGATTGGTATAAGTAGTATTTATACCAATTTCTGTTGTAGTTGAACATCTTTTCACATCTTTATTGGCCATTGAATTTCCTTCTTTCTTGAATTTTCTGTTTAATATCTTATTTTTCTGTTTATACTATTGATGGGAGTTCCTTATGAATTCTAGATACTAACCATGGATTATATATATTACGGATGTCTTCCAGTATTTGCTTTATCTTTTAACCTTGTGGTGTATTTTTTGTTCTGTAGTTTTATATTTTGACGTGGTTAAATTGATATTTTTTTCCCTTATAACTTTTATGTTTTAAAAAGCCTTGCTTAAAAAGCCTTCTTCACTTGAGCATTATAAACATATCTCTTATATTTTCTTTTAATATTTTTAAGTTTCATTTTTATTTTTTTATTATTTTTAAAGATTTTATCCATTTATTTAAGAGGGAGTGAGTGAGTGAGAGCACACACATGAACAGGGGTAGGGGCAGAGGGAGAGGGAGAAGAAGGCTCCCTGCTGAGCAGGGAGCCTGACTTGGGGCTCGATCCTAAGACCCCAGTATCATGACCTGAGCCAAAGGCAGATGCTTAACTAACTGAGCCACCCAGGTGCCCCAAGTTTCATTTTTGTATTTAGATTTTTGTCCATCAGGAATTTAATCTTAGGAATGGCATAAAGCTGAGGATCTAATTTTGTTCTTGTAAGTGAAAAGCCAGTTGTCATCATTTATTTATTAATTAAGCCCTGTATTCCTACAGATGTGTATTGTTTCCTCTATGGCACACTGTCTTGTAGACATGTGAATGCATTTCCTTTCACTGGTCCTATACTAGCTCTATACAGTCCTATTTACATTGATCTCATTAAAACTTTTGAAATGGCAGGGAGACTTACTGTATCTATTCTTCTATTCCATAGTTTGCCTTTATCATCCTTGGACTTTAAACAAGCCTAAATATATTTTTTTTAATTTATTTTTATTTATTTGACAGACAGAGATCACAAGTAGGCAGAGAGGCAGGCAGAGAGAAAGGAGGGGAAGCAGGCTCCCTGACAAGCAGAGAGCCCGATGCGGGGCTTGATCCCAGGACCCTGGGATCATGACCTGAGCTGAAGGCAGAGGCTTTAACCCACTGAGCCACCATCCTTGGACTTTAATAAATTTTACATTTATTACATTTTTACACAAATTGAAATTTTTAAGGGTTCCTTCTCTTACAGGAAGAACAGGGTATGTGAGATTTGGCTATTGTTTCCAATAATCAGTGGTATTGGTAAGTGAGTGTCGTCTACTATTTGTCTGGGCTTAAGGTTCAGGCTCTGCCTTTAGTTCAGAGGCCACAATTTCAATCCTGACTTACTGGGTAATTTCTGTTAACTGTATTTGATCAAGGTATTTCCAGGCCTCCCAATATAATGGGTAGTAATGCTGACTGGGAAGATGAGTGCTAGTGTGAAAAGGGTTCTGCATGTGTCTGAACTTCCATGAATTGAAGTGACCAGAAAGATGGTTGTTTAGGTGATCCATGTTTTAGTCCCTATTACTGTATAACAAATCAGCCTAAAACCTAGTGGCTTAAAATAACAACAGTCATTTAATTTTTTCTCATGGTTTCTGTTAGTCTGAAGTTTGGAAGAACTGCTTGGCTGGGTAGTTCTGCATCTAGGTCTCTTACAGAGTTGTAGTCAGACGGCGGATAAAGCAGAACAGCAAGAGGCGGGGGGCTAGCTGGGCATCTCTTCTCCATGAGTCTCTCTGGGCTGGTTTTGGCTTCTGGTACACAGTACGGCAACTTAGTCTGCTCACTTGGCTGCTGAGAGCTTCAAGAAATGGGTCCAGCTCTTGTGAAAAAATGGCTTTGCCTCTTTTGACCTAGCCTCAGAAATCAGGTGACATCACTTCTGTTGGTTACAAAGTGAGTCATAAGCCTGTCCAGATCCCAGAAGAGGGAAATTAGACTCTTATTTCTTGATGGGGGAGTGGGAGTTCTAGAAAGGCTCATGGGGAGATACTGTTGCAACCATATTTGGAAAATACAGTCAACCACAGTCTCTGAATTTGTAAATGCATCTTGAGGTCCAAATAGCAAACAAGTGACTTTTAAAAACTTGAACACAATTCACTTGCTTTTTGAGGATCGTCTCTGTGTGCAGTAAATATTATACAAACAGTGCAGAAGGAAGTGAGATAGGAGAGCTTGGGATTAAAGGAGACCCAGGAAGACTTTGGAAAAGGTGAGGATTGGGCTGGATATGTGGGACTGGATGCAAGAGGGCATTCAAGGATCAGGAGACTGCACACGAAGGAATATGTGCTCAGTGTGAGAGGCTTGTGAGGAGCCTTGCACACCCACAGCCGAAAGAAGAAGAGCAGTGATCAAGAGGGACCAGCTGAAAAAATGCTTCAAGAGCTTATAATACAGAATTGGTGCAGGTGGAAATAGAAAGTCATTAAGCTTGTAGTGCATTTTATTATAACACCCTTCTGGGACCAACTTAAAACAATATTAAATGAAGCATTTTAATTTGCATTTTCCTGAGATGTAATTGTAGTTTATCAAAATCTGGATGTGAATTAATCTTGTTGCAGTGTCCTGTGCCCGCATGTCGAGGGAGGTCATTCACTGCTCTCCGTAGCTCACCTCTTACGGTTACAATGGACTGGCAGTCAATCAAGTAAGTAATCAGACTAAATAAGACACAGGTTTTAGATCTCTCATACTGCCAAGTAAATCTAGAATATTACTGTATTATGCAGTGAGTCTTATTTATAGACAATGATAAAGTATATAATAATGGATTTATTTGGTTAAGGGTTTATATGTTGAAATTAATGCCTTTATTTGAAATTTGTTCTATATTAGATTCCAGAAAAGATTTTAAGTACAAGTATCACGTCCTTTTACTACTGAGGGATAGTTCATTTTATTTCTCACTTATGTGATTCATTGAACTGGATATATACCAACAAAGTTGTATGATTTTCTTTCCATGCTGTGATAGAAATGTTGTTTAGAAGTTTTAAAATAAAGAATCCTTTAGAAACGGGCATGTGTTTTATTTCATGTTCTCACTATCTGTGAGGCATTTTACTATAGGTTTTTTTTTTTTAAGCTATTTTTTGCAGATTATATGGTTGTGTGTGTGTCTATTTTTTTTTTAAAGATTTTATTTATTTATTTGACAGAGATTACAAGTAGACAGAGAGGCAGGCAGAGAGAGAGGAAAGGAAACTAACTCCCTGCTTACCAGAGAGCCTGATGCAGGGCTCGATCCCAGGACTCTGGGATCATGACCTGAGCCGAAGGCAGAGGCTCTAACCCACTGAGCCACCCAGGCGCCCCGTGTGTGTCTATTTTTAACCCAATAATTTATTCCATTTTATCTGGCTATAGTCTCATAACTCATCCCTGAAAATGAAATAATGGGTAGTTTTTGTTTTTAAGATTTTATTTATTTATTTGACAGAGAGACAGAGATTACAAGTAGGCAGAGAGGCAGGCAGAGAGAGAGAGAAAGAGAGGAAGGGAAGCAGGCTTCCTGCTGAGCAGAGAGCCCAATGTGGGGCTCAATCCCAGGACCCCGGGATCATGACCTGAGCTGAAGGCAGAGGCTTTAACCCACTGAGCCACCCAGGCACCCCGATAATGGGTAGTTTTGAAGTCAGAGTGCTACCAAGAAACCTAGCTAAAACAGGTGATGGTCTTAAAAAAACTAAGAACCTAGAGAAAAAGTGAGATGGATTGCTACAAAGCCCCGTCTTACCTCCCTTCACCTCTTTCAGTTCTGTAAAAACTAACACCAACATATGTAATTCTACAGTATGCTGAGATCTTCACAAATTCTCCATTTTATAAAAGAAGAAATGTTTGAGAATTTTTTTTACATTTTATTTAAAAAAATTTTAGTTCCAGCATAGATAACAGTGTTATATTTAGTTTCAGATGTACGATATAGTGCTGCTCAGTGCTCATCACAGTAAGTGTATTCTTAGTCCCCTTCACCTGTTTCATCCATCTCCCACCCACATCTCCTCTGGTAATCAACAGTTCGTTCTCTATAGTTATGAGTCTGTTTCTTGGTTTGTTTCTCTCTTTTTTTTTTCCTTTGTTCATTTGTTTTGTTTCTAAAATTCCACATATGAGTGAAATCGTATGGTATTTGTCTTTCTCTGATTGACTTATCTCACTTAGCATTATACCAGATAGCTCCATCCATGTTGTTGCAAATGGAAAGGTTTTATTTTTTTTTAGGGCTACGTTTAAGACTCTCGAGCGTGATTTGTGCCCTTTTAGTTCACAAGCGTCTGCAAAGACTGTAGGGCTTTCACCACTGAAGGGGGTGATAAGGGCCTCAAAGGAGCTATGGCTCACAATAGGATAGGTGCATAGAACGTCCATGGTAATTCATTTATTTGAACAAAATCTTTTTGCTTTTTGGTAAAAATAGCAGACAAGAAAATAGGCTTAAATATTTTAATTGGATTTGAATGATGATCTCTTGACATTAGGTCAGATTTAGAAAGGGAGGCCATTTAGGGGTGCGTAATGGCACAGTTGGTTAAGCTGGTTTTGGCTCAGGTCACGGTCTCAGGGTCATGAGAATGAGCCCCAAGTCAGGTTCCACACCCACTGGGAAGTCTGTTAGAGATTCTCTCTCTCCTAGTTCCCTTGGTCTCTCCCCACCTTGTAAAATAATAAACTTTAAAGAAAAAGGGAGGCCATTTAAATCCTTTTCTGGAATCTTTAAATCATTTTCTTTTTTAAATATTTTATTTATTTGTTTGAGAGAGAGCATTAGCAGGGTGAAGGCAGAGGGAGAAGCATATTTCCCGCTGAGTGGGGAGCCCAACACTGGGCTCAATCCTGGGTCTCCGGGATCATTGCCTGAGCTGAAAGCAGACACCCAACCAACTGACCCACCCAGGCACCCCTTTTCTTGAATCTTTAAATGTAAGGTATTGCTAAAGTTCATTTTGATTGAGTTATAGTAACACTTTGTTAGTATAGTATTAGCTTACATTATGGTTTTATTCTACTAATGTATAGATATGTAAAATGACTACATACCCTAGGTGAAAGGTCTTCCTGCACTTAGAGTAAATTCAGTTTCATTTTTTTCTGAGGCTTAGTTTGGAATGGTCATAAAGAATTATTGTTTCTCAGCTAGTGCATTGAAATATTTGAATGCATCAAAGTGACAGCTTTGCATTTGAAGCAGTCCCAGTTCTAAAGGTTTACCTGGTAAAAACAGTCACAGTATGTGAAGAAATAGTTGCGGAAAGTGTATGTTTTCACTGTGTGTGTGTGTGTACAGCCTAAACATCTGAAGAAAATGTTTTAAGTAGGATGGTACAAGAGTATTGTGTAGCCATTAACTATGATGTTGCAGGAGAATATTTTGAAATGACATTAAAAACGTGTACAGTGTTTTCAGTGATAAAACTGGCAAGAAATACAAAAATATGTTGAGAAGATACTCTCGGAAATGAGATTAGAGTAATTGCTAATTTTTCTTTCTGTTTATCTGTTTTAGTAAGAAAAGTCTAAATTAGGAGATGTATAATGAATCCAGATGTATAATGAATGTATTCCAAAGTTATTATTTTAACATTCAGGGTTTTTACTTCCATTCATTATTTAAAGAAGTTTTAAAGACTTCTGAGGAAGATGGCAGAGTATGAGGATCCTAAGCTCACTTGGTCTCATAGATACAAGTAGGTAACACCCACATCAGTGTAAATAATCCCAAAAGCAACATGAAGACTGGCAGAAGAGACTCTCCACTGCTAAATATAGAGAAGAGGACACAAGAGGGTAGGAAGGGTGAAGAGGTGGTCAGGAGCCTAACGGATCCATGGGACTATGGGGGAGAGACTCAGCAGCAGTTATAGGCAGGGGAGAGAAGCAGACCTCCACAGCAGGCACCCAGGCACAGGGAAATTGCATGGGGAAGGCAAACACCCATAACCTTTGGTTTTGAAAACCAGAGGGGCCTCATTTTGTGAGTTCTTACAATCAGCTGGGCTTAACACCTGAACTTTAAAAATCAGTGGCTCAGCTCTGGGAGAGCTGGATGGTGAGAGGAAGTAGAGTCCCTGCCTTCAAACAGCACAACAAACAGCCCTGCTAAGATGCAGCATAGAAGCAACAGTTTAAAAAATTCCTGGTTATCCCTGGGGCTAATAATACATTATATGTTAATAAAAAAAAAATAATTTTTAAAAATTATTGAAAAAAAACCTAGACAAAAAGGAGTTTCAAAAAAAAGTTCCTTGTTATACAGGAGGGAGATTTGTTTACTAATCAGAGCATGTACTGGAGGGGCAGGCGTATTTGGGAGACTTATTGAAGAACAAAAGAGCTGGAGGGTGCTATTTCCCCTCCCCGATCCCCAGCCTAGATACAGAGACACCTGTGGGAACCAGGACAGTGCAGTACTCTCCACCTTCCACCTAGCTTGCTAATGGTACACCCCACTCCTATACTTTTCTGTGGACTCAGCCCCTCCAAGTAGAGCAGTTTTCCCAGTGACTACAGCTCCCCTCATGCAGCCAGCTGGTGCGGCCCTTGCTGACACTGTGCACATAACTCCCTGCATTCTCCTGCCGGAGAGCATCCAGAGTGGCACCACGGTGTGGCAGTGAGCAAGCAGCCCTGACAAGGGCCAACACCACTCCAAAGTGACTCCTACCCCGGGGAGAGGGGAAGATAACCATTCGTACCAATCCAGCGGTGTCCCCAGCAATGGGCTGGGACAGACATCTGGTCTGACTATAGGCCCTGCCCACCAAGAGAAGCTTCTCGGGGGAATAATACAGGGAGAGCACCCTGCAGTTTGGTGTTCCTGCAGCTCTGGCAAACACCTGGCCTCAGTCAACTCAAGCCTGGGGTGGCCCAGACTGGCCCACTAACAACACGGACCAAACCCTGCCCACAACAGGCAAAGAGAACCATTATAGACTACTGGACTGAAGACAAAATGTGTCTCAGCCATAATAGGGCACATGGAACACACATAGGAGATACCCCTGAAGGGCCAAGTTCTTAAGAACAGGAGCCATTGCCCTGCAGGGCATTACAGGACCCCTTCTTCAGAAAGCCACTACTTTCAAGAGCAGGAGACATAGCTGATTTTTCTAACACAGAAACAGAGTCAGTCAAAATAAGGAAGCAGAGGACTATGTCCCAAGTGAAAAAACTGGAGAAAATCACAGCAAGAGACCTAAATGAAATGGAGATAAACAATATGCCTGATAGAGAGTTTAAAGTAATGGTCATAAAGATACTTGTTATAGTAGAGAAAAGGGTGGAAGACCTCAGTGAGACCCTCAGCAAAGAGAAAACACAGAAAAGAATAAATCAGAGATGAAAAACTCAATAACTGAAATTAAAAATACACTAGTGGGAATAAATAGTAGACTAGCAGAACAGGTCGGAGACTTGGAGGACAGTAATGAAAAGCATGCTGAACAGGAGAGAGGAAAAAGAATAAAAAATGAAAATAGACTTACGGAATTCAGTTACACCATCAAGCATAACAACATTTACTATAGGGATCCCAGAAGAAGAAGAGAGATAAAGGGGTCAGAAAATTACTTGAAGAGGGACGCCTGGGTGGCTCAGTTGGTTGGACGACTGCCTTCGGCTCAGGTCATGATCCTGGGCTGCCGGGATCGAGTCCCACGTTGGGCTCCCAGCTCCATGGGGAGTCTGCTTCTCCCTCTGACCTTCTCCTCGCTCATGCTCTCTCTCACTGTCTCTCTCTCAAATAAATAAATAAAATCTTAAAAAAAAAAAAATTACTTGAAGAAATAGGAACCCAAAACTTACCAAATCTGGGGAAGGAAAGAAATAGGAAGCACAGAAGGCACTAAAAAAAAAAATCAAATTAAGGAGGTCCAAGACACATAGTAGTTAAAATGGTTAAAAAAAAGAATAGTGATAAAGAGAGTTTTAAAAGCTGTGAGAGAAAAGAACAAAAACATTTACATACAGAGGGAAACCCCATAAGGCTATCAGTTGATTGTTGAACAGAAACTTTTCAGACATATCTTTTGGGAGTCATAATTCAGCTCACTGCCATTGTGAAGTAAGTTAGAGAATTAAAAATAATTGGTAGCAGCCTGTGTCCGTTGATAGATGAATGAATAAAGATGTGCTGTCTGTGTGTATGTGTGTATAAATATAATGGAATGTTACTCAGCCATAAAAATGAATGTGAGTTTTGCAACAACATGGAGGATTGAGAGAGTATAATGCTAAGTGAAATAAACCAGTCAGAGAAAGACAAATACCATATGATTTCACTCATATGTGGAATTTAAGAAACAAAACAAATGATCAAAGAGAAAAAGAGACAAACCAAAACAAACAGAGTCTTAACTGTAGGGAACAAACAGATGGTTACTAGAGGGGAGATGAATGGGATGGGTGAAATAGGGGCTCATCGAGATGAGCACTGAGTCATGTATGGAATGGTTGCATCACTATGTTGTACACCTGAAACTAATATGAGAATGTATGTTATCATCCTGGAATTAAAATTTTAAAAAAAGGCTAGGAACAGATCACAAATGCCGGACTGGTAACTGTTGGGCTTTCAAAGCCATGGTTGGTTTAAAGCCTTGGTTCCCATCATATGCCAACAAAAATCCATTGACCCAGAAGATTTTATGAAGTCCTGTGGAAGCCATCAGGATGGCTCTGTGGAATGAGAAAATACATGTACCACTGGCTTCAGCAGATGGGCTCCAGGTGGCCATCCCCAGGGGTTGGGAGCCAAGCGGCACTTGCCGGGGGAGATACTAATTCAGTTGGTGAAAAGATGGATGAGAGGTCCTAAGCCCCTAACCTCATGCTATATAATTGCTATATAATTAAATTGGAATGTGAGTGTGGCCAAAAAAAAAAAAGTTTTAAGGAAATGCCTGTAATATTCTTAAAAATCAGTGTAGAAGGCCACAGTTCCCACAACTGCTTATTGTGTTATACATAACTTTAAGTGACATCTTTTCATGGCTTCCCTCTCTTTACTCACCCACTCTCTGAACCAAGGATATTAGAGATGATGCACTTGCCTTTACTTCTCCCCCTTCTACTGCTAGGCTTCTTTCTGCATGATGTTAATTTTACATTGTCAAGGTTTACTTCTCTTTTCCAATCATAACTGTCTTCCTTGTTTAATCTATAGGTCATATCTAACAAAAAAAAGAGCATTTATATTTTTAAGATCATCTTTGTTTAACAAAGAAACAAGGAAGGTGGTCAAATGCCAAGAAGAGGAAATGTAATTTATGTTATTGTGTCGTTTTGTTTTTTTCCCTTAAATGATCCATGTGTCAAAATCAAAGCGAATTCTCTTTTCTTCTACTCTCTTGCATTCTTCCCTATTTTAGTGTGCTTCATATTTGGACTGTGTTGTTTAGCACTTTTCCCACTTTTTGAAATCTTTCTGTCTGTGGTGTTCTGAAGTAATGAGAGTACATCTAAATGTCTTCATCCTGCTGGACAGTGATCAGTTCTTCTGGAGTTGTCTTGGACTCTAGAACATCTCTTTTCTGTCTTTGAGTTTCCTATCAGATACATTCATTGGACTGTTCATCTGTCTTTTAAACTTTTTTCACCCTTTGCTTTCTCTGTGCCATTTTCTAGATTTCTTTGGCTTTTTTGTTTGTTTCCTATAAATATTTGATTTTTATATACATATTTTTAATTTTCCTGATCTCACACTTGTTTTCTCATCGTTCCCTTTTTATAGCCACTTAGTGTTTTATGATGGTAAGATTTTCTCAGAAACTCTTGGGCAGCTTTTTGTTTGTTTCTAATGCTCTTCTTTTCCCTGAATTATTGCCATTTCATCCTGAAATATCTGATGAGCAATGAGAAATTTTTTGGGTTAAGTAGGATAGATTTCTTTTGCTTATTATAAGTAGGAGTTTTTCCTCATGAGGCATCCCTCCTGGTAAGAAGATAGAGGGTTTGATTATCAAATTTTGCTCTGTGAATATGTTTTTGAATCAGAGTTGAGTTTCTCAGATGCCAGAATGAGGAGGCTTTGTTCTGGAGCTTTGATGCCCTCATTAGATGCTGTAGCTCCCCTCACAATGGATGAATCCATTACTCTAGAACAGTGCTCTGGTTTCTGTTTAATAGTAAAGCCTGGTTTGCTGGAATGCCCTCATTCTTCGCTTACCTACCCACCTACCAAAGAATTCTGAACAGCTATTTTGTGACTTGTCTTTCAGTTGATTATCCTATTTCCTTTTAGCCAGCTGCTGAAAGGATGTTTCCCTACGTAAGAAACAAGAATTCCCTACTCTCCATTCCTGCCAACTCCAACTTAGAGGCTCCCACTTTTCTTATATCCTTGTAACTTTTTCCTGTGTATAATTTTGGACTTTATTTTATTCATCTATACTTTCCCACTTGCTGTTTTCTAAAATGTCAAGAGGTCTTGTTTATTGGTAACACCTCTGCACACCCTAAAACTTCTCTTTACCTATATAGTAACTGCCATTTTGGTGGACATTTTGGAGAGAGGGTAGGCAAGTGTATATGCTCATCCTGCCATCCTTAATGGGAAACTGCTGAAGTAATATTAGATACACTGTTGAGCTCCCCCCCCCCAACTAATCTGCTCTTTATCTAGCTTGGTACCTTGTGGGTCGTGCATAGATGACATGTTGAAAAAATTAAAGTCAATATCTATACTCATTGAAAATTGTTTAACTTTTTAGAATCCAGGAGCTGATGTCTGATGATCAGCGAGAAGCAGGTCGGATTCCACGGACAATAGAGTGTGAACTTGTTCACGATCTTGTGGATAGCTGTGTCCCAGGAGACACAGTGACCATTACTGGAGTTGTCAAAGTCTCAAATGCTGAAGAAGGTATTATGTAACTCTTGTCTCATTTTGATTGTTTCTTAAAAATTTGCCAGCATCTTTTTTGAAGATACCTTTGAATCTCCACTAATACAGGGAATTCCTTATTTCTTATATGGGTGAGACTTTTCCTTTAAAATAAAGGTTTATTTGTAGCTTAGTGTGCCTTTTTTTTTCCATTCCGTTTAAGTCTTTGTAGAGAAAATGAAAATACCAATTATTGTATTTCGTACTTTGAAATTTACAGGTTCTCGAAATAAGAATGACAAATGCATGTTCCTATTGTACATTGAAGCAAATTCTGTTAGTAATAGCAAAGGACAGAAAACAAAGACTTCTGAGGATGGGTGTAAGCATGGAGTGTTAATGGAATTCTCACTTAAAGACCTTTATGCCATCCAAGAGATTCAAGCTGAAGAAAACCTGTTTAAACTCATTGTCAAGTATGTATGAGATTATCTGAAGTTTTATTATGTTATGTACGCCATAGGGGTGCTCTTGGCTACAAGTAACAAAAACTAGTCAAAATGGTTGCAAATTACAGTTCATAGGTCAAATCCAGCCAACTGCCCATTTTTATACGGCCCATAAGCTAAGAATGGTTTTTACATTTTTTAATAGTTCAATAAAAGACTATTTCGTGACACACAGAATTATATAAAATTCAAATTTCACTTCCTACAAATAAACTTATTGGAACACAGCCATAATCATTCATTTATGAGGTGTCTGGCTGTTTTCCATCTGCAGTAGTAGAACTGAGTAGTTACAACAGGGAATGGCTCACAGATATTTACTGTCTGTACCTCTGGGGAAAAATTTGTTGATCTCCATGTTTAATCCATAAAGGAAATTTACTATCTCACCCTAGAAGTTGGTTACTGATTAGAAGTGATGGGACCTTGAACTCCAGTCATTTCAGTTAGCTGTATATAAGGGGTTGTTTGTTTACTTTTAAAAAGCAATTAACTTATATTCAGTAAATATTTGTAATATTCTTTTATAAAAATGCAAATTGAGGCAACTTTTGCTTTAGTGGTTAGGAGCTTTTTTTTTTTTTTTTTTTTAAATTTTAGTTAAATCAAATTAGAATCCCACTTCAAGCACTTACTTCCAGTGTGGTTGGAAGCATGTTACTTATTACCTCCTTCATTTTTCTCATCTTAAAATAGAAATAATTCCTGCCTCAGAAGGTTGTTCCAAGGATTACATGAGATTTTTAAAACATATTTAATACAGTTAACACAGCATGTTGTTATTTTAAAAGCTTTTAAACAATATTTTGGATGATTTTGAAGAAATAGAGGAAAACATGAGAGACTGAAAAACAGATGTACCTAAAAGTAGTAAAGAACTGAGGTTTTGAAATGTGTTAGTTTAGAACACATAACCCCGTTGTGTTTTCCTTACTTAGGCTTAGGACACTAAGAGAATTTGACTGTTTCTTCCTTTAATATGTTAGTCAGCTGAGAAAAGTATAGAGTTCCTCAGGGGGTCTTTGTCCTTAAACCCTCAGAGACTTCTCTGAATAGACAGCCATCCATACCTACTCTGGGAGAAGGGGTGCTCTGAGCTAGAGTGAGGGTGTGATCTGTGGAGCATAGACATTGTGGTGAGGGGGCTGTGAGCAGGTGGGGAGGAGCCACCTGGCTGAAGATCAAAACACCTCTTCGATTGGTCCCTCTTACCCATTTTGAATAAGGAAGACCTTTGCAGTGGTCCTTCTGCCATACTAGAAAGGTTTTCCCACAGGTTGTTTTTACCCCTTAGTTCTATATTTGGGATTTCAGCATTAAAACTAGAATTTTTCATGGCTGTCCATTTGTTAATCTTGGAGGGCATGGCAAATTAGGCAGGCTGCCTGGTTTTATAAATAAAATTTTATTTGGACACAGTGCCATCCATTCATCGACGTAACTACTTTCATACAAATAGCTGTGACCCAGACAGTAAAACTGAAAAGATATCGTTCTGGCCTTTTAAGAAAAAGTTTGTCCACCTTTGCTAGATTAACAAGTGGAGGACCATGAGAGGAGAATGGAGAAGATAGTGGAAGGTTGTTTTAGTTTAGGTTTCTTCAGAAGCAACAATTTGGGTAAGCAGTTATTTGGGAGGTAATCCCCAGGAATACTGGTAAGGGAATGGGAGAGTGAGAAGGGGTGGTAATCCATGTATGGTGCCTAAAGTAGAAGACCGTGATTATGAGGTCTTTTAAAGGCTGGTGATAGATCAACAGTAGAACTTTAAAATGCTTTGCAAAGGGGCACCTGTGTAGCCTAATTGGTTAAGCCTCTGACTCTTGATTTGGGCTCAGGTCATAATCTCAGCGTCCTGAGATTGAGCCCACATTGGGTGTGGAACCTGCTTGAGATTTTCTCTGCCCCTCCCTTCCCCTGCTGTTGCTCACTCTTTCAAAAAAGTAAAATGCTTTACAAGTATTGTCTCCCTTACACAGCCACAATTTTTAAAGCATTCTTCCCTTTATGAAATAACCAGAATTTCGAGAAACTTACTGTTATAGTAAAATGTCTTGAGTTGTTTGAGGGATTTAAATTTTGTTTGCCTTTTCCCTTTTGTGATGCTAAATAAAGCAAGTTAAGCAAGTTATAAAGTAGATCTTCTAATGGATTGATGAAGCATAAATAAGAATTTATAAGTTGTATTCTGTTTTTCAGCTCACTTTGCCCTGTCATTTTTGGTCATGAAGTAAGTACTTCATCTTTACCCAAAAATATATAAAGTTGGCAAAAAAGAGCTAATTTTTATAAGCCATTTATTTGTATTTCAATATGTCATTACTCTTGATAAGCGAATGATATGAAAGGCAAACTACAGCTTCATTGTATGAACAACCTTCTTACTAATTTGAGCTGATGGGAATGAGGTACCTTTAAAGTAACTTTGGGCACTAAGTGTTAAAGCAGAAGCTAGCAAGTATTTCCCAGTTTTGTGGAGTAGATTCATGCCTTGCAAGGTAGTTCTTTACTCACTGACTTTTAAAGGTACTTTGGTTTTATGTGCTTCCTAGTTTTTGCTTTCTAATCATTTACCTTATAGAAGTTTATATTGTAAGTTAATTTCTTTAGGGGAAAAAAGTAAAGTTCAATCATGTTTTTTAAAAAATTCTCAAGTAAATGTAAATACGGAAGGAGAAGCATCCCTTTTTTGCTATTCATCTTTGTGTCTTTCTCGGTTTTGAGGTTTTTCTTCTCCCCCCCCCCCCCCCTTCACACTTGAGCTTGTTAAAGCAGGCTTGGCATTAGCACTTTTTGGAGGAAGCCAAAAATATGCAGATGACAAAAACAGAATTCCGATTCGAGGAGATCCACATGTCCTTGTTGTTGGAGATCCAGGCTTGGGAAAGAGTCAGATGCTACAGGTAGGAAATCAGTCATCTAATATTTGATATATTCCTTATGAAATGTATGACTGATTAATAAGTGAATTTTCTCAAAGCTTCTAATATTTGTGTTCCAGAGGATAGAGTTAGTCTGGTGGTAAAAGTGAATTGGGGTTTGTGTGGGTAATGTGTCACTTCCCTCTGGCCGTCCTTTCAGATAGAGTCTGCTTTCTGTCACACAGGCTGTGAGACATGGTGGTCTGTTGAGATGTCAGCTATTGTGAAGTGTTAACCATTTCTCTAACCCCTTTTTTTTGGTATCAGCTTTGCTAGTCTATTTTGTTGTGGCTTCACCTATGAGCAGAATAGTTTGAGAAAGTAAAGGGCAGGGAAACAGGGTCATGCCTTCTTTCTTCACAAAACTACATAAACACTGTATTGAGCTTTAGGAACCATCTGATAAAGATAAGAGATCTGTGTGCATCTCCACTGCTTCTCTGTGAGTTTTAAGTAAGGCAACTTCTGTGACCAACTTCTTGTTGGTGCCCAAGAACATTCTGCCTCTGCCAGTCAGAGCTTAGTGGTTCTCCCGCCATGGCTTATGATGGCCTTAGTAGGTTCTGCTTGTTGGAATACTTGTGGTTGCCTGGGAATGACACCTGGTAACCCAGTCATAATGTCCTTTCTGAGAATGCCCATGTGTCCCATTCCTTCTGACCATCCCCAGTGTAGAAAAATGTGACCAGAGGGGCACCTGGGTGGCTCAGTCATTTGGCGTCTGCCTTCAGCTCAGGTCATGATCCCAGGGTCCTGGGATTGAGCCCTGCATCAGGCTCCCTGCTCCGTGGGGAGCTTGCTTCCCCTTCTCCCATTCCCTCTGCTGTGTCCCTCTCTCGCTGTGTCTCTGTCAAATAATTAAATAAAATCTTTAAAAAAAAAAAAGGAAGGAAGGAAAATGTGACTAGACCAGGGATCTCTTTGTAAGTAGTCCTGTGGCTACTGAATCTTTGTTCAGGGGAACTCTGACTGCATATTAGAATCATCTTTGGAACTCTGAAAATCCTGGGGCCTGCCCTAGTCCAACTAAATTAAGAACCTCTGGATTAGGGTTCTAGTATATCTGTGTGTGTATAACCTTCCACAGGTGATTGTGCTGGGCAGCCAGGATTGAGAACAGCTTTGACCTCATCACTGCATTTATAAGCCCACTGTCCTTCAGCTTGGGTCTTGATCCCAGGGTTCTGGGATCGAGCCCTGCATCGGGCTACCTGCTCAGTGGAGAGTCTGTTTCTTCCTCTCTCTCTGCTGCTTGTGCTCTCTCTCACACTCTCTATCAAATAAATAAGATCTTAAAAAAAAAAAAAAAAAGATTTACTTGTTTAGGGGTGGCTGGCTCAGTCACTTAAGTGTCTGTCTTTGGCTCTGGTCATGATCTCCAGGGTCCAAGGATCAAACCCCACATCAGGCTCTCTGCTCAGCGGCGAGTGTGCTGCTTTTTCTCCCTCTGCCCCTTCCCCTGCTTATGCTCTCTCTTGCTCACTCCCTCAAATACATAAATGAGACTTAAAAAAAATTTTTGAGAGAGGAGAGCAAACTAGTGCACCTGCTAGCACGGCAGGGACTGGCAGAGGGAAAGAGAGAATCCCAAGCAGACTCCTGTCCAAGTGCAGAGCCTGACATGGAGCTCAATCCTGCAACCCCCGAGATCATGACCCAAGCCAAAATCAAGGTCGGAAGCCCAACCAACTGAGCCACCCAAATACCTCTCTCTTACTCCTTTTTAATTTAAGAAATAGTTCTTGGCAGATGATGGTTTCAAAATACATTTAATGGTACTGAAAAAAAAATTAATACCAAGGAATGACACTGGCAGTTTTTCATGTTTTTTAAAACCTGGGATAATGCCATTTAGTTTAATTTAAAAATAGAAACTGTAATATTAATAGAAATTAAATGTTGTAGACAGTGGAGTGTGTTGTATGTAAGTGTTCTAGCCCTGCTAAACCAGTTTTTAAAAATTAGGTTAACACTAACAGTTATGAATTGTTTACTGCCTTTCATTGGGTATGTGTGCCAGGTACCAGATTAAGTGCCTTATATACATGATCTCACTTACTTCTCAGGAATGTAGGTGGTAAAACATAAACTGAGGCTCAGAGAGATCTGAGAGCAGCATAGCCAGTATACAGTAAAGCCAAGATTTAAATAGGTCTTCCTGACTCTGGAGGTCCAGGCTTTTAATTCTTGTGCTATTTAACTACTTTTCTGATCTGCCATAGCTTGTTTACTCACAAGGTAAGCATTATTGAGCTGTTTTATTACCTGCTATACAAAGAAGCATTGAAACCTTTGAAATTAAAATTGGCCCTCATGTATTTTCTGTTTGAACTTGAAAATGAAGCATAAAATGAAACTGTGTGTGTTCATATGACCACAGACATCAGAGGCAGGCTGCCTGAGTTTACACCTTCATAGCAGTGTGAGTTACTCTCTGCAGGCCTTGGTTTTCTATGTCATAAGATGGGGGTGTAATAATACCTTGCTATTAACTGTGGTAGTAAAGATTATACAGTAAAGCTGTTAGAAGAGTACTTGGCATATAGCTGACATTTGTGAGCAGTCACTATTAGCTGTTTTTCCCTTTTACTTTGTCTGTTCTTTTTCTAATTTTGTTTTTTAAGATTTATTGATTAGAGAGCACACGGTGGGTGAGGGCCAGAGGGAGACGGAGAGAGAATCCCAAGCAGACCCCATGGCCCAGTGTGCAGCCCAAGGCAGGGCTTGATCTCACAATCCTGAGATCAGGACCTGAGCCAAAATCAAGAGTCCAGTGCTCAGCTGCACCACCCAGACATCCCTGGCTGATTCTTTTAAACCTTCTGTTTTCCTAGGCAGTATGCAACGTTGCTCCCCGTGGTGTGTATGTTTGTGGTAATACCACAACCACCTCTGGCTTGACTGTAACTCTTTCAAAAGATAGTTCCTCTGGAGATTTTGCTCTGGAAGCCGGTGCCCTTGTACTTGGCGATCAAGGTAAGAGACCAAACTCTCCAATGTTGACATTTAATTTCCCTAATATTACAGCTTCTATTTTTAAATTGAGCCAAGGGTTTTAAAGGCATTATTCCAGGTCTAAATAATTAGTAATTCTGGAGCTTTGGGCTGTTTTTTTAAGACTTTCTCTTTCCGGTTAATTTCTTTACATTCTGTTCAAGAGGCATTTGGACAGCACTGTATTAGCCAGTGAGTTGAGAATGAGTACCAGAAGAGAATATCTGGAAATACAGTTTATACTGCAGAATTGAAACTGGTACTTACTGTCATTCATTTTCAGAATCCTACAACAGACACAATTATATATTGCTCCTTGTACTTCTCATTTTATAACAACCATCACATTTGTGATCATTCGTTTAAAGCCTGTTTTAAAACTTTACATTAAGCGGGGGGATTTGGTCATCCTATTAACTGCCATATTCACATTGCCCAATACATAGGTGCACAGTCAGTATTTGCTGAATGCCTTACTATTACTTAGCCCACCATATCATCTTGATCATGATAGTTCAAAGATAAGGTGAACGTTACCCTTTTACTCACAGAGGACTTAAAATAAGAATTTAGAGCTATTACTTTATAATTAGAAGTTTTGCTGTATTTTTAGCCCATCTCATTCGATGTTTTTCGGGATTTGACTGCTAGTTTATAAGAAATCCACTTAGAGGGCTCAGCAAGAAGGGATCTCTAATTGAACTTTGCTATAATCACCAAGTTTCTCTTGGTAATGCTCTAACCCTACTGAAAAGCATGTTCCCTTGCATGTGTCAGGCAGTGCGCAGATTCCAGTCAAGGTCTTTCGTTCCTTTGCTTGTCAGTGACCTCCACATTTCTGAATGCTCTCAGCACCCTCACCTGCCTGCCACCCCCCTGCCCCCCCACCTTGATACTTTACCTCCTTGGTTTCCAGGACATTATACTCTTCTGGTTTTCTTCTCATTTCATTGACTGTTCCTTCTCAGTCTTGTTCTTTATCTCCCCAGCCTTAACTGGTTGGCACCTCCAGATGCCTCTTTCATGCGCCTTTATTTTCTTAGTCTGTGCTAACCTTCTTGATCTTATCTAGTCTCATGGCTTTGCCTAGCTATTTGCTGAAAATTTGCAAATTTATATCTCTTCTTCAAACTTAACATGTCCTAAGCTGAAATCCTAATGTTCCCCTTCAAACTGATTCTTCTTACAGGCTTTCTCATTTCAGTCAGTGATAATTCCATCCTTCTGTTTGCTCAAATCAGAAAATGTGCATTCATCCTTGACTTTTGCTCATACCCCATATCCAGTCTATGAACAAATACTGTGGGCTCTACCTTCTATATATGTCCACCATCCAGCCTCTTCTCCAGGGCTGCTGTCATCTCTTACATGGATTAGTAGTGCAATCTTATAGTGTCTGTGACCACCCTTGCCCTTCCTGTTATTCTTAACAAGGCAGAGCTATCCCATTAAAACTCAGATCAAGGGGTGCCTGGGTGGCTTAGTGGGTTAAAGCCTCTGCCTTTGGCTCAGGTCATGATCCCACGGTCCTGGGATCGAGCCCCACATCAGGCTCTCTGCTCGGCTGGGAGCCTGCTTCCCTTCCTCTCTCTCTCTGCCTGCCTTTCTGCCTACTTGTGATCTCTGTCTGTCAAATAAATAAATAAAATCTTAAAAAAAAAAAAACCAAAAACTCAGATCAAGTTATTCTCCTGCTCAGAACCTTCCAGTGGCTTCCTGTTTCACTCAGAGTGAAAGCTCAAGGCTTGACAGTGGTCCAGGGCTATTCACATTCTGGCCTTCAAATCACCTCTTTTGCCTCATCATCTACTTCTCCCCTCTTATTCTCCAGCTACATAGCCTTCTGGCTATGCCTGGAACACAACCAGCACTCCAGGCACATCACATTCCTGCTTTAGGCCTTTGTATTCATGCTTTCTTTACCCCAGATAGGTCTGCAAGGCCTGGTCCCTTTCCACCTTGAACTTTTTGCTCAAATGTCCTCTCCTTACCCAGAAAACTGATCTTACATAATTATGCCTATGTCTTGCAGTTGTTGAAATGATACTGTCTTTTGAATATGACTGTATCTTATCTCACCTGTTTGAATGTAAGTCTTTGAGCTTTTTGAGGGTCACTCTCATATCTTCATTTTTATAGCCCTCATAACACTTGCCTATGGAAAATGCTGAAAGAGAAAATACTGAATAAAAGTTAGTTAAGAGGAGTGTTTTGTTTGCTGTAAAACAGGCACAAATTCTTAAGTGTATGACAGTTCATAATTTTTTTTTAAGATTTTATTTATTTATTTATTTGACAGAGAGAAACAGCCAGAGAGGGAACACAAGCAGGGGGAGCGGGAGTGGGAGAAGCAGGCTTCCCACGGAGCAGGGAGCCCGATGCGGGGCTGGATCTTGGGACCCTGGGATCATGACCTGAGCTGAAGGCAGTTACTTAATGACTGAGCCACCCAGGCACCCCCGACAGTTCATAATTTTAACTGCTGGAAACAATTACAAATAATTCTTTATTATGAAACAGTTTCCATCCTGTAAGATTTGGAGCTTGACCAAAGAAAGCTTTTGTCTGTATTATTTTACTGTGATTATAGGTATTTGTGGGATAGATGAATTTGATAAGATGGGGAATCAACATCAAGCCTTGTTAGAAGCTATGGAACAGCAAAGTATTAGTCTTGCTAAGGCTGGCATGGTTTGTAGCCTCCCTGCAAGAACATCCATCGTTGCTGCTGCAAATCCAGTTGGAGGACACTACAATAAAGCCCGGACAGTTTCTGAGAATTTAAAGTAAGTCTCTTCAGATATTTATATTTATACCTTTAATATAGTGAATCCTGGGGCGCCTGGGTGGCTCAGTGGGTTAAAGCCTCTGCCTTCGGCTCAGGTCATGATCTCAGGGTCCTGGGATCGAGCCCCGCATCGGGCTCTCTGCTCAGCGGCGAGCCTGCTTCCTCCTCTCTCTCTGCCTGCCTCTCTGCCTACTTGTGATTTCTGTCTGTCAAATAAATAAATAAAATCTTTAAAAATATATATATAGTGAATCCTTATAAATCAGTAAGAAAAAGATAACGGAAGACATAATAGTTCACAGAAATGAAACCTTCCAGTAAATGTACAAAAACATGTTTGAGCACCATAAATTAAAACAATGAAGTACCATTGATAGCTCTTAGATTGTCAGACATTTCAAATATTTATAATCATTGACAAAGGATTGGAGAAATGGGGTCTCACATATTCAAGTTAGCATACGGAAGGACAACTGGCATGTTTATCACTATTTCTCTTGAGAGAGCAAGCATGAGCAGGTGGTGGGGGGTGCAGAGGGAGGAGGAGAGAGAGCTCAAGCAGGCTCCATGCCCAGTGCAGAGCCTGACTCAGGGCTTGATTTCACAACCCTGAGATCATGACCTGAGCCAAAAATCAAGAGTTGGACGCTTAACCAAATGAGCCACCTAGGTGCCCCGTTTTTCATTATTTTAAATGTACATTCATTTTGTTTTAGTCAGGTCTACTTTTAGGAATCATACTCACAGAAATAGTCATGCAAGTGTACAGAGATATATTTACAGGTGGGGTATGATGGCATTATCACAACCAAAAATCGGAAACAACTTAAAATGCCCTTTGATAAGGAAGTGGTTAAACTATGGCAAGGCTGTATGGTGGAAAGTAACAATTACAAAAACGGAAGTAGCTCTGTATGTGCTGAGAGCTCTGTGCTTTTCTGTTAAAAGAGCACGTTACAGGGGCGCCTGGGGGGCTCAGTCAGTTAAGCATGTCTTCAGCTCAGGTCATGATCCCAGGGTCCTGGGATGGAGCCCCATGTCAGGCTCCCTGCTCAGCAGAGAGAATGCTTCTCCCTCTCCCTCTGAGCATCCCCTGTTTGTGCATGCATGCTCTCTCTATGTGTCTCTCAAATAAATAAAATCTTTAAAAAAAAAAAAAAGCACATTATATTCTTACAAATGGGGTATGATCCCACTTCCAAAAACAACGTTTGTATATGCTTTCTCTTCTAATTTCTTCTGTGTACGTTGGACAAAAAGTATAGGAAGGGGGAAATAGATTGAAATGATGCAGAAGTGAGAAAAAGGACAAAAGGATGCCTCGTGAAAAACTGGAAGCTTTGACAGATAATGGATAAAGAAGATGTGGTATAGCTACATACAGTGGAATATTATGCAGCCATCAAAAATGAAATCTTACCATTTGCAACAACACGGATAGAACTAGAGGGTATTATTACTAAGTGAAATAAGTCAGAGAAAGACAACTATCATATGATCTCACTGATATGTGGAATTTGAGAAACAATGCAGAGGATCATAGGGGAGGAGAAGAAAAAATGAAGATGAAACCAGAGAGCAACAAACCATAAGAGACTCTTAATCTCAGGAAACAAACTGAGGACTGCTGGAGGGGAGGGGGTTAGGGGATGGGGTTGCATGGTGATAGACACTGGGGAGGGTACGTGTTGTTGTGAGCACTGTGTGTTGTGTAAGATTGATGAATCATAGACTTGTACCCCTGAAACAAATAATACATTCTATGTTCATTTAAAAAAAGGAAAAAAGACCAAAAATATTGGAAGCTTAAATTCTAGAGGGAAAAAAAAACAGATTTCCTAATGCCTAATGTTTGATGATAATATATACCTTTACTATAGAAATGATACATAGCAAAATGTACAGTTATACTTGGAGAAGCTATACCACCACCACCAAAAACGTCCATCTATTGGTTTTTCTTAATAAAATGAAAAACTGCTATATTGGAAAAATCAGAAAGATCCTGTTGAACTTGGACTTGGATTCTGGTTTTTAGAGATATCCAAACCTGCTTTGGGGTCTTGGCCAATTCTTTAATCACTCTGGATTTTAGTTTTCTTGTCTCAAATAGAAGGATTATCTGATTGGTGGGATCAGGGAAGATGACTAGGCAGAACACAGCATTTTTATTATAATGATTATAATGGCTTGGTGTTTTTTTTTAAGTGAGGGGAGGAGAGAGGGAGAGAGAGAATATTAAGCAGGCTCCATGCCCATGGAGCCTGATGTGGGGCTTGATCTCACAGCCTAAAATCATGACCTGAGCTCAAATCGAGGTGGCACCCAGGTGCCCTGATTATAATGACTTTTAAGAAAATGTGGGCTTTTTTCCTAAGTGATCATGGATGCATTGAGAGACTCTTCTGGTGAGAGAAAAAGTACAAAAGATTAAAACCACCCAACTAGAAAACCTCTGGTGAATCATATACCATGTATCTTAGAATTCAAAGTCATTGTGAAGCTCACCATTAGGTAGCAATATGGAAAACAGAGATTGTGGGATACCTGGGTGGCTCAGTCGGTTAAGCATCTGCCATCAGCTCAGGTCATCTTCCTGGAGTCCTGGGATTGGGCCCCACATTGGGCTTCTTGCTCAGCGGGGAGCCTGCTTCCCCCTCTCCTGTAGCTTGTGCTTTCTCTCTCTCAGACAGACACATAAATAAATATTAATTTAAAAAAAAAAAACAGAGATTGAGAAGGGGCCTTATTACCTCAACTTATGAAAGGTAGGTACATATATGGTTTACATGTTGAAGGGTGTGTGGCCTGGTGTCTTTTCAGAGTTGGTGCGTGTTATCGAGTCCAAAAGCTATTGCTTGTTTCTTCAACCTCAACTTCATTTTTTAAAAGTTCTATTGACATAGAACTTGAATAGTAAACAAGTGAGGAAACCATTTTCTATTTGTTTTGATTCTAATCAATTTCTTCTTTCTTTTATACCTCTTAGAATGGGGAGCGCCCTGCTGTCCCGATTTGATTTGGTCTTTATCCTGTTAGATACCCCAAATGAGGATCATGATCACTTACTCTCTGAACATGTGATTGCAATAAGGGCTGGAAAGCAGAGAACTGTTAGCAGTGCCACCGTAGCTCGCATAAATAGTCAGGATTCAAACACTTCTGTACTTGAAGTGGTGTCTGATAAGCCCTTATCAGAAAGATTAAAGGTAAGCTTCTGTTTCTTAATCATTCAGATTGGTTGTGTTTGAATGTCAGTTTGGTATGTTGATTATTATAGAGCAGTGGTATGTTGCTTTCATACTGAAACCTTTTATATTGCAATAGTAGGGTTCATGTAAACGTTAACTGAAATAATCTAAGCCAGCTAGACTGAGCTAGAACTACAGTGTTTGTCTTATTTGGAAAGTCTTTTAGAATTTTTTATGTTATCTAAACAAGTTATTTTAATAGAAAGATTTTATTTGCTATCCTTGTAATGTTGGGGCTTTTTATCATGCTTTAGGTAGTTCCTGGAGAAACAATAGATCTAATTCCCCACCAGCTATTGAGAAAGTACATTGGTTATGCTCGGCAGTATGTCTATCCAAGGCTATCCACAGAAGCTGCTCAGATTCTTCAGGATTTTTACCTTGAGCTTCGGAAACAGAGCCAGCGGTTAAATAGCTCACCCATCACCACTAGGCAGCTGGAATCTCTGATTCGTCTAACAGAGGTTTAAGTTCATGCCTTTTTTTTTTTTTTTTTTTTAACTTAAAAATGAGGGGAAGAAGTGATGTGATATCTCTCCATTTCCTGCATATAATTAACTCAGTTTTTCTTTGAACTAAAAGACATTAGAAAGGATGTATAGAAGTTCTTAAAAATGTTTGGTCAGGGGCGCCTGGGCGGCTCAGTCATTAAGTGTCTGCATTTGGTCCTGGTCATGATCCAGGTGTCCTGGGATCAAGCCCTGTGTCAGGCTCGCTGCTCAGCAAGAAGCCTGCTTCTCCTGTTCCCTCTCCCCCTGCTTATGTTCCCTTTCTCGCTGTCTCTCTGTCAAATAAATAAATAAAATCTTAAAAAAAAAAAAAAAAGGCAACAAAACTTCCACACCACCATTTAAAAAAAATGTTTGGTCATATCTCTTTCATAACCAAAGTATAGCCACTTCTTTCCAGGCATGGGACTAGCACCTCCCATGCAATTTTTCTTTTTTCCCCCTTTTACTGACATTTTAGACTCTTGGAGTATGACAAGTGGTTAGGTTAATTAAGGATTCTAAGATTCTAAGTTGAATATATGGAAACATGGAATGTGTCGGTATTTGATACATGACAGGTCCATAAGGATAGTACCTATTTTTCTTTTTCTTTTTTTTTTTTTTTAATTTTAATTATTTATTTGACAGAGATCACAAGTAGGCAGAGAGAGAGGGGGAAGCAGGCTCCCTGCTGAGCAGAGAGTCTGATGCGGGGCTCCATCCCAGGACCCTGGGATCATGACCTGAGCCGAAGGCAGAGGCTTTAACCCACTGAGCCACCCAGGCGCCCCAGTACCTATTTTTCTAACAGCAGTAACATTTATTCACAGATTTGGAATGCTAGGAGACTCTGGCAATTAAAATTAGCTGGAGTTTGGGCTTTTTGCATTTAAAATCAGATTATCCTTCTGTGTTGTTTTAACAAATTGGTTAGGCATGATTTCCTGAAAGTAAAAGGCAAGGAAAAACCAAATATTTCATAATCAGTTTTTCTGAAATGAACACTTAGAAAGATCTATGTTAGTAGATACAAACAGATTTTCATCCAGATTTTAAACGAGTGATTGTTTTCATACTCAAGTTTTCAGATAATTTTATTCCGACTTTTCATATTTTAGTCCCCCCCCATCAGTTTTTGTGTAAAATGAATAAATGAAATAAGCTTTGATATACTATCCTCTCAGTGTAAATATACTTTTGTTATGTAAAAATGCTTGTTTTCTTTCAAAGGCACGAGCAAGGTTGGAATTAAGAGAGGAAGCAACCAAAGAAGATGCTGAGGATATAGTTGAAGTTATGAAATATAGGTAAGATTAGCTGCTGTTTTAAATGAAATACCAGTCATCTTTTCATCTCAAATTATATATTTAATTAGGCAAAGCAAAATTATTTTTATCTAGCCCATTTGATTCTCTGAACAAACTATACTTTCTTGGTTTAAAATATCTGTGTAAATCTTTATATTAAAAATGTGTTTTTTGAATGGGTAATACATTCACATAGTTCTAAAATAAATGCAAGAATACGTATTTTGAGAATGCTCAAAAGCAACGTCATAATAGGTAAAATCATCAGCACTTAATGACTACTAACCCTTTCAACCAATCCCTAACATATTATCTTTTGTCTGGTGCATTGGTTTAGTATTACACAGTGCCTGCACTGTCCATTTTCTCTTTTACATGATTCAGTACTGGTTTTGAGGGGTCTTGTAGATGAAATTTTTACCAAGCTGGCTTCATTCCCTCTCCAGTTGACTTCATTGTGTTGGAGACTCTCCAGTTGCCATTTATAAGCAACCAGGTAGTCTAGGAATTACAAGACTGTCTCCTACAACGTGCTGCCGGAGGTTCAGTGTACTAGCATATGACATAGAAGAGTGCCCACAAATACCGGTTGTCTGCCTGACTTCTGGTAGACCAGACCAGTAAGAAACCTAGAGACTGCCCTAACAGAGATCCTTTTTTCTCACTAGAAAACTAAGTCAGTGAATCTAACCAAACTTACAGAAAATCTGGATTCTAAACTTTTTCCCCCCAGTTAAAAACAAGGACAAGCAGTAGGGACTTCTTGTTTAATGACAAAAAGTTGCCTCTTTGTTTACATTCTTTCTGAGCACCTTGCTCTTAAACTCTCCATCTGTGTGGGTGGGGCTAACATTTACTTTTCCATTTAATGATCTCTCACCCTTTGGGCCTTCTGGCCTGATTCTGCAAAACAGTGTCATGTGCTTCTACTTCATAGACTTTTGGCTATCAAGCAAGTCAGGGATAAAACTACCTTGTCACCCTCTTTTACCTGTAACATTCCATTTTTGAAGCTTCACCCTTATTTAGTTTCCATAGGCCTCAGACCCGAGACACTGCCTCAAGCAGCCATCTGGTATTTGTCCACAATAAGTCCACTGGTCTGATTTGTTCTCATATCTGAGCATTACACTTAAGATAAATTATTCTTTCAACCTTTTCGATAAAAATGGTATATTGCTAATTTGTAATTGGTTCTGCATGTCTGAATCTTCATCTTGGACAGTGTTTACATGTACTTTTCCATCTAAGAGGAACTCTGTGGCATTTCTTGTAGAACTTTATATTTGTTTCTACTTCTCAAAACTGCCTTGCTGGTAACTCTGAATTAGCCTTAGGCTGTCAGTTTACTTCTATGCTTCAAAAAAAGTTACCTCGTTGTTAACTATAAACAGTACCTACGTGACATTACCAGGTTGTTTCTTTGAATTGAATGTGCTTTACTGGCTTTCATAAAAATTTTCAGATAACGAGAATAGGCTGATTCCTAGTGATTGGAATTACCTGCTGTTATTTCCATAATGTATGTCAAGACTCAGTTAAACACACTGAGACTAGATTGTGAATTAAACTTTCCGTACTTTCTGACCTTAGTCTATACTCTGTAAGAGCAGGGACTTTATCTGTTGTATTTACCAGTGTACTTCCAGGATCCAGAATCATACCTACCACACAGTATGCCCTCAGTAAATATACTGTATTGATAGTAAAGTTAACCGTAGTAATCATTTTTCATTCATTAACTCTTCATTTCAGAGTTTCTTTCTCTTGAGTTTTTGAATGTTTGCCCTTAATGTGTTTTTGAACCTTAAAATTACATTTTAACTTGGAAGCAGTAGTCAAAATAAGAAAAATCTAAACTTTGATACAGTTGATCATAGTTATCAAAGCACATAGCTATAAAAACTAAATGTTTATGGGTAAAAGTTTACATAAGTTTTCTTTAAAATTAAAAATATACTAAGAAGGGGCACTCTTGGGTGGCTCAGTTGGTTAAGCGACTGCCTTTGGCTCAGGTCATGATCCCAGGGTCCCGGGATTGAGTCTCGCATTGGGCTCCTGCCTCAACGGGGAGCCTCCTTCTACCTCTGACCCTCTCCTCCCTCATGGTGTTTCTCACTCTCTCTCCAATCAATCAATCTTTTTTTTTAAATATACTAGGAAGTACGGGAGAATAGAGCCATCTTGAAAGATGAAAGAAAATTGAGTTTTTTCTCTTTCAGGAAAGTGGCTCAGATATTTATAAATCTTCACATCTGAACCCATATAGCTTAGATTCAGATCCTACATATGCCACTCATTGGCTCTGTAACATTTGGCAAATACCTTACTAGACTTTCCTTCTTTATCTGTAAAATGGGAATAAGAATAGTCCCTAAATCAGAGGATTGTTGGGCTAAATGGGATAGGATATGGTGGTTAAATATAATTAAGGTGGGGGCACCTGGGTGGCTCAGTGGGTTAAAGCCTCTGCCTTCGGCTCAGGTCATGATCTCAGGGTCCTGGGATCGAGCCCCGCATCGGACTCTCTGCTCAGTGGAGAGCCTGCTTCCTCCTCTCTCTCTCTCTCTCTCTCTCTCTCTCTCTCTCTCTGCCTGCCTCTCTGCCTACATGTGATCTCTGTTTGTCAAATAAATAAATAAAATCTTTAAAAATATATATATATGATCAAGGTGAACATAAGTTGTTAATAATTAACATAATAGCATAAAGCATTTTTGGAAAAGTATCTTATGAGAAATAAGCTCTTGTTCTGTTATGGAATGGGGACTGGATCCTGGACAAAAAAAACAAGCAGCATTCGGAGACCTTGAAGGATCACAGAGGTTTATTTTATGCTGGCAGGCTCAGAGGAGAGTAATCTCTCTTGGTCTGAGCCCCAAGCACAAACAAAGGGGGTAGTTTATACACTTTTACTTCCATATCTGTGCCACTCTTATGGCTGTGGCCTGTGGGGCTAGGTGGGGCTAGAGGAAAACCTGGAATGGCCCTGGGGCCAGGACTTGAATTCCCTTGCTGGATTGGTCGGCCACCTCAGAACACAGATTTATTTTATCATTCCCCCCTTTGATGCCCTTTTAAACACCTAGTTTAGAGGGCATCATTTTTATTATCTATGGGGCAATAGTAAGGAGCAGCTGGAGTCTGATCTTGGCAATGTGTGATAAGCCTGATAAGGGCATTAAAAATACAAGGACCAAATGCTACTGTGAGGAGGAGCATAAGGAGGGGGCCGATGAGGTGGGTGAACCAAGGGAACCATTTGCTAGTAACGGTAATGCGAGAGTTGAGAGGTTCCCCCCACCCCCGCCCCCACCAACGCCAGCTCAGGGCAAGCTAAAAGCAGTGAGGAGGAACAGCACACCACGTAGCAGAAAACGAGGACTGACTGGGGTCAGGAAAATCATGGTGAAATGTGCTTAGGAGTAGACCTCAGTTGTGGGTCCACAACCTTAGTTAGAGGGAGCCATTGTGGCTAGCCGGACAGCAGATAAAACCTGTGGACAAGTAAGGGCAGTAAAACACCCTAGGGTTACTCAGTAAACAACAATAATGGCAAGTCTCTGGGGGAAAGTCCAGTCAGAAGGGGCAATAGTATAGAGTCCAACCCCTAGGATGAGGAATATCATGCTGATGAGAGCTAGGGACCACGGCAAGCAGGTGTTCATTATTTGGTGGGGTCTCGTCAGAGATGAAGCCAGAGTGGATCTGTAGGGTTTGACTGGACTTTCCATTGGTGTGGCTCGTCATCTGAGTGATGGGCTTTTTTTCATTCTGGAGTGTTGGACCCATAGGATGATACCAGAAATCTTAAGGGTAGTAGGGGTGGTTAGAACAACAGTGTGAGACCCTGTCCACTGTGGTTTGAGGGGGTCCTTTTTTTAATCTTTGATCTACACTGCCTGGAAGGAGTGTACCTGGGACCCTAAGGAGATTGGGGCCCTCTCAGGGCCTTTGTAATTATTTAAGGTGGCCCCAGGGCCTGAAGGTTTTTTGTTTTTTGTTTTTTGTTTTTAATCTTCAATTTGATGTAAGTTTCCTGGAAGGCTCCCCAGGCATGGGGGAGGCCATCCATACACTAATTTGAAAGGGGAGTAATGTAGAGTCCCAGGTGTGCAGCAGGCATGTAGGAGGGGGGGTAGCAGATTTGGCCATGGGAGGCAAGTCTCCTGAAAAAACTTTGCTAAGGTTCCCTTGAGGGTGTGATTCATTTGCTGTTTTCCCTGAGCTTTGTGGCTGGTAGGCAGTGTGGAGTCTCCAGGTGATGCTGAGAGACTTGGTTAAGACCTGTACAATGTCTGCTACAATGTGGGCCCACTCTCACTATGGATTGTTAATGGCAGGCTGAACTGGGGCACGATCTCCCACAAGAGGACTTTGGCTACTTCCCGGCTTCACTCCATCCTGGTCGGGAAGATTTTGACCCATCCAGAGAATATGTATACTTTTACTAGGAGATATTTGAATCCACTGCTTGGCTGCACGTTTGTAAAGTCTATTTCTAGATCTTTGAAAGGGGTTACTTCCATCCCCGGACACCTGGCGGGCGGGGGCTGCGGTGCAGGTCGAGCATTATTTTTAGCACATGTTATGCATTGCTCACTGGCTGCTCGACATAGTGCTGGCTGCTGGCTGATGTAGTAGTACTTTTTGGAGGGCCTGTAAAGCAGTTTTTTCCAGGTGGGGGAGTTTGTGGTATTTTTTGACTAGATGTCTTCCTGTTGCTGTTGAGATGAAGACATGCCCATCTGGCATCATCCACCAACTCTTTTTAGTCCAGGTGGCCCCCTCAGCCATGTCCTTACTGGCTGTCGTCTTGGCAGCCTCATCTGCCAGGTGATTTCCCCGTGCTATGGAGTTGTCTCCTTTCAGGTGTCCCTTACAGTGCAGGATTGCTATTTCTCTTGGAAGCCAGATGGCTTTGAGGAGTTTTAGTATCTCTTCGTTTTTGATAGCTTTTTCTGCGGCAGTTAGAAGGCCCCTCTCCTTGTAGATGGCCCCCTGTATACGCACAGTAACAAAGACGAACCAAGAGTCAGTGTGGATGTTGACCCACTTGCCTTCATTGAGGGTGAGGGCTCCGACTAAGGTGTATAGTTACGCCTGTTGTGCTGACTGTGCGGCTGGTAATGCTTTAGCGTCTAAGACTTCAGTGCTTGTGGTCACTGCATAATCTGCTTTCTGGGCACCTTCTTGTAGGTAACTGCTGCCATCACTGAACAGCACAAGCTCTGGGTTTTTTATGGCTTGATCCTGTAAGCCTGGAAAGCTTGCATAGACTTTATCAGTTACTTTGGAACAGTTATAGTCTGGTTCCCCTTCTTCCGTGGGGAGAAAGGTTGCTGGGTTTAATGTTCTTACTGTTTTGGATTCTCGCAGAGGAGCCCTTGGTATCGTGTTAGCCGAGAGCTGGAAAGGAAGCGGTGCCCGTGTGTTCATGAGGGTCGCAACTGTATGAGGAACCTTGACATTAAGTTCTTACCCTGGGGTGAGCTTGTCTGCCTCCTTAATGAGTAGGACTGTGACTGCTAGCTCCCTGAGGCATGGTGGCTATCCTGCTGCCACAGAGTCCAGTTGCTTTGACAGATATGCAACTGGCCTCTGCCAGGGCCCAAGAGTCTGGGTGGATACCCCGAGTTCTTTTTTGTGTATAAAGAGATTGAAGGGTTTTTCTTACGTGGTAGGCCCAGGGCTGGAGCCCACCCCAAGAAAGCCTTTATCTCTGTGAAGGCAACCTTTGCTTCCTCAGTCCAGGCAGGGGGTTCTCGATTTGGTCCCCCTGAGAGATCATAGAGGGGTCTTCTTATTGCTGAGAACCCAGGAATCCAGATGCGGGAGACTACTGCAGCCCCCAGGAATTCTTATAGGCCCCCCTTTTTTTCTAGGGTTATGGCAAATAGATGACCTTCTTTTTCTCTGGCCCTAGTTCTCTCTTCTCTTTGGTGAGGAGGAAACTGAGAGATTGGACCTGTTGTTGGCAGATGTGTGCCTTCTTCCATGAGGTTAGGTATCCCCAGTTTGACAGGAGCTGTGGAGGGCCTTTTTGCCTTTTGTGCAGTCTTGTGTGTCAGGGGCGAGGAGGAGGTCATCCACATACTGGAGGAGGATGCATGGATTTGGGACCACTGTAGGGAAACAGCCTCATTGATGGCCCGCAGGACCAGGTCCTCACCTGACAAGTCTCTTTTGAGTCTGGCAGGAACAGCAGAGCAGGGCTGGTCCAAGGTGACCAGGTGGGAGACTGCCAAAGATTAGGCAGGGTGCACTTTCTCCGTTACAACCCCTTGTTCCGTCACTGCCACACTATTGCCCCCAAACTGGTGGCAACAATGGGCCAGTGCGGTTGGGTTTCCCAGTGAGCGAACCAAATGTTACGGAACACGGACTGGATCCTGGCCAAAAAATCACGTGAAACTCAGAGACCTTGAAGGATCGGAGCTTTATTTTACACCGGCAAGCTCAGAAGAGAGTAATCTCACAAGGTCTTAACCCCAAGCACAAACAAAGGGGTTATTTTGTACACTTTCACTTCCGTATCTGTGCCACTCTTGTGGCTGTGGCCAGTGGGGCTAGGGGAAGACCTGGAATGCCCCTGGGGCTGGGACTGGGATTCCTTTGCTGGATTGGTTGGTCACCTCAGAACAGAGATTTTATCAGTTCATTATATTTATTTACATTAATTAAATTACATGTATTATTTATTACAGTCTTATTTGGATGATTCATTCCTATTTGTTCAGCTTTCTCTTTCATGTGGGCTCTTATTGTTCAGGGAACAAAATGAAGCTATGTTTTAGAAACCCTGTAAACTCATTGCTGTAAGCTCCTTAAGGGCAGGAATTATAACTGTTTTATTCACCACTACAAATCTACTGCCTAGCAGGTGACGAATTTGTATTTGATTAACCAATTCTGGATTTAAATAACATTTTTGCCTGTAAGCCATGATCTGTTCCATTGTACAGGCAGGGAGGGAATCAGCCACAGAACTGGATTACAGATGATGGCTAATTGTATCTCTGGTGTTTTCAGACTTCTGGCTAAAATCTGCTATAAAGTACATATGTCTTTCTTTGATGATACTGTGAAAATAAGAGGAAGCAGCAGAGAACTAGTGGATCCTTTCATTTCTGTCATGACTGCAAGTCTGCAGAACCCTTCTAGTTCATTCCCCTGGTATTTTTAAACATCTTTCATTTGTCAGATGCTTCCCTAGGAACTGGGAACATATCTTTATCCTCTAGAGCCTAAATTTAATATGTTTAGAATTTCTTTTTTTCATGAATCAAAAAGAATGTTCCAGGTATTTATATCACAGTTTATCAACTTTGTGTTCTTAAGCTTTTCTCTTCTCAAATGTACAAGTTTCTTAAAAGTGGTAACTATGTCTAAAAATGTCTTTATCTTCATATAGTTCAAACCATAGTGAATTTCATGGTGGCCATTCAGTCAGTACATGTTTAAATTTTTGCTACATGAGCCTCATGGTTATGTACACATTTTTCTTCTTATAACCTGAGACAAAAAATTTTGTAGCCATGCCACATTGTGTAACTTTGTTTTTCTCTCCTCTCACTAAGTATGCTAGGAACTTATTCTGATGAATTTGGGAACCTAGATTTTGAGCGATCCCAGCACGGTTCTGGAATGAGCAACAGGTCAACAGCAAAAAGATTTATTTCTGCTCTCAACAACATTGCTGAAAGAACTTACAATAATTTATTTCAATTTCAACAACTTCGGCAGATTGCCAAAGAACTAAACATTCAGGTATGATAAGCCAAATGCTTAATACATCTTTTTTATGACAATCTCATGAGGTCTTTAATAAGTATAGAGCTTTTAAATTTCAAAAGATTTGGGGGCGCCTGGGTGGCTCAGTGGGTTATGCCTCTGCCTTCAGGTCAGGTCATGGTCTCAGGGTCCTGGGATCGAGCCCCGCATCGGGCTCTCTGCTCAGCAGGGAGCCTGCTTCCTCCTCTCTCTCTGCCTGCCTCTGCCTATTTGTGATCTGTCTCTGTGAAATAAATAAGTAAAACCTTTAAAAAAAATTTTTTTTTCAAAGGATTTGGATGACTATGGAAAACAGTACAAAATTTCCCCAAAAAATTAAAAATAGAATTATGCTATGATCCAACAATCACACTACTGTGCACTTATCCAAAAAATACAAAAACACTAATTGAGAGTGATATATGCACCCCTATATTTATCACAGCATTATTTACAATAGCCAAATTATGGAAGCAACCTAAGTGTCCATCTATAGATGAATGGATAAAGAAGAAACAGTATGTGTATACACACACACACACACACACACACACACACACACCTGGAATATTACTCAACCATTAAAAAAATGACATCTTGCCATGTGCAACATGGATGGAGCTAGACAGTATAATGCTAAGTGAAATAAGTCAGAGAAAGACAAATACCACATGATTTCACTCATATGTGGAATTTAAGAAACAAACAAAAAAAGAGAAGGAAAGACAAACCAAAAACAGACTCCTAACTATAAAGAACAGATGGTTACCAGAGGGGAGGTGGGGGGAGGGGATGGGTAAAATAGGTGAAGGGGATTAAAAGTACACTTTACTAGGTATACCTGGCTGGCTCAGTCAGTGGAGGATGCAACTCTTGGATCTCAGGGTTGCATGTTCAAGCCCCACACTTGGGTGTAGAGATTACTTAAAAATAAAAATCTTTAGGAGCGCCTGGGTGGCTCAGTTAAGCATGTGACTCTTGATTTGGCTCAGGCCATGATCTCAGGGTGTTCAGACTGAGCCCCAAGTTTGGCTCTGCATTCAGCAGGAAGTCTGCTTAAGATTCTGTCTCCTGGGGTACCTGGGTGGCTCAGTCGTTAAGCGTCTGCCTTCGGCTCAGGTCATGATCCCAGAGTTCTGGGATCAAGTCCCACATTGGGCTCCCTGCTCCGCCGGAAGCCTGTTTCTCCCTCTCCCACTTCCCCTGTTTGCATTCCCTCTCTCGCTGTCTCTCTCTCTGTCAAATAAATAAATAAAATCTTAAAAAAAATAAAATGATTGTCTCCCCCTTTCCCTCTGTCCCTCCCACTCCCGTATGTGCTCAATTACAGGTGCATTCTCTCTCTCAAATAAGTAAATCTTTAGAAAAAATTAAAAATAAATCTTTTTTTTTAAGTACACTTATTATGAGAGGACTAAATAATATGTGGAATTGCTGAATCACTCTACTGTACCCCTGAAATGAATATAACACTAGTAACTATTTCTGGAATTAAAATTTAAAAAATAAAATGGAGATTGAAAAAAATAATATTTGGATGAAAAGAATGGAATAGGATTTTTTGGAGAATTTCAAAATATAAGCTTATTTATTTAAGCTATGAAATGAGCTGCTCAGAGCTTTTATAAAAAGTTGTTATCTAAAACACACACTTACCTCTTTTTCAGTATCTTGACAATTGGGAGAAACACGGCAAGACTCACTTTCCATATTTCTCTGACCGTCCCATGTGGGCAAGTCATCTTAACATCTTTGAATCTGTTTCCTCATTTGTTAAATAGACATATTCCATCTGCTCTACGTACTTCAAAGTTTTAGTGAAAATGGATGTAAGCACACAAAAGTTTACACAGAAAATTGCCCACTTGATTTCAGAATTGAAGCTAGTCTAATTTTTGTTTTGAAGCTAATCTAAAACAAAAATAAAAAATACTCTGGGGGTGCCTGGGTGGCTCAGTCAGCTAAGCATCTGCCTTCCGCTCAGGTCATGATCCCAGGGTTCTGGGATCGAGTCCTGTATTGGGCTCCCTGCTCAGCGGGCAGCCTGCTTCCCCCTCTCTCTCTGCCTCTCCCCCAGCTTGTGCTATCTCTCTCAAATAAATAAAATCTTAAAAATACTCTGGATCCTGGAGTTTTTATTTTTTATTGGCTCAGCTAATCAACTAGAATAGAATCTCATAATAGAATTGAAAGCTCATATGTAAGCAGTTTTCTCTGAGGAAATAAAAATAAATTTATTTGCCCAAGAAACTTGGGATTGTATATATCTGTTTGAGAGATTCATTTTATAAATCATATTTTTGCATATTACTTAATGGGCTGTTTTTTTATATTTTATTCCAGGTTGCTGATTTTGAAAATTTTATTGGATCACTAAATGACCAAGGTTACCTCTTAAAAAAAGGACCAAAGGTTTACCAGCTTCAAACTATGTAAAAGGACTACCAAACCAGCACCTCCAGGGATTATTAGCAGTATAAAACCATCTCAGTAATAAAGAATATGTTAAAAAAAAATACTGTTCTCTAGAAAATGACATGCTAAAAGTAATAGGAAAAGAGTATTAATTTAAAAAGTAACAAATTCAGGTGCTTATTTTTTACAGCTTTTCTGAAAGATTAAAAATAAATTGTTCATATTTTTAAATGATATGTAGTTTTATTTTTGAACTCTTTTATTCTTAGAAATATTTCATAGTTTTTCCTTTTTATATTAAATGTTCCATCTGGGTAAGTATTTGCAAAGTTACATCTTAAAGTTTAAATAGTTCTGACATACAAATACTGAATATCTTTCAGAAATAAATTGAAACCAACTTTCCAAAACAAATTGGAAATATTTTATATTGACATATTTAACTTAACATCTTAGCTACTGAAAAAAAATTTTAAATATGTTCTATTACCAAAGTTAAATATGTACCTGTTTTAAGTCAGTAGCTGTACAACGCTTATATTAAAAAACCAAGCAGCCTCATTAACTTACTTACTACACAGAAAGTGAAAATGCTCTTCTAAACCCTTCTGCATGCACACAATTTCCCATTTCGTTCCAATTTAGTTATATGTCATCATCTTATGTTAAATCTACATTTAGCCTCAACATTATTATGACTATGGAATATTACTCATTTCCTTTCTTGTACCAGACTTTTTTGTTTTCGTTAGAGTTAATAATCAGTTTTTCAACCATTTAGCTTTCTCTGTATCTACCACTAATTTGGCCCAGAGGCTCCACTGCAAGGCTATGTCTCCTCTTAGAACATGTAAACAAGAGGTGCCTGGGTGGCTCAGTGGGTTAAAGCCTCTGCCTTTAGCTCAGGTCATGATCCTGGGGTCCTGGGATCAAGCCCCACATTGGGCTCTCTGCTCAGCAGGGAGCCTGCTTCCCCCTCTCTCTCTGCCTGCCTCTCTGCCTACTTGTGATCTCTGTCAAATAAATAAATAAGATCTTTAAAAAAAAAAAAAAAGGTGCGAACAAATCAAATAGTCTATTTTAATTTCTTGGGGACATTTCTCCTGGTTCTCTCTAGCGTTTTCCAGTCTGAACTACATAGCTGTCATTTTGGGACTTCTCATTTTCTGTCTCATTTCCTAACTTTTATGTCTTTTTCTTGTTTCACTGCCTCCTTTTGGTAGAACCCATCGTCTAGTAGCTTCCTGAGAACAGTTCATTAGGCACATTCTACCCTTCCCTCTGGATTGATAGTTGGGGCATAAAATTTTAGTTTGTAAAACTAAAAATGTTGCTCTATTATTTCTAGTTTTCAGTGTTCCTGTTTAGAAATGCAAGGCCATTAATTGTTTTTATTCTTGCCATGTGATCTTTTTTATCTTGAGAAGGTACTGGGACTTTCCCTTTTCCCAGGTATTCTGAAATTTTATTATGTTTCATAGCTATCCTGGTAGTTTCTTATGCCAAAAATATTGGTGTCATCTTTACCTCTTTTTTTCTCTTACCCTCATATTAGTCCATCAAAAAATTCACTCAGCACTTTTAATTACTTCTAGTTCCATTATCCTGGACCAAACCACATCTCTCGTCTCACTTTGTAAGGACAAAGACTTTGCTTCATTCTGTAACCGCTGCCCCAACAGGTAAAACAAGATTCTGATACATACGCCATGAAGTCAATACACATAAATGGGTGATTATATCCCTTATAAACGAGGATACAGAACTTAACCAAAGTACGTAAGCAACTTGATTTAAGAATATGAAAATTTTCGGGGCACCTGGGTGGCTCAGTGGGTTAAGCCGCTGCCTTCGGCTCAGGTCATGATCTCAGGGTCCTAGGATCGAGCCCCACATCGGGCTCTCTGCTCAGCAGGGAGCCTGCTTCCTCCTCTCTCTCTGCCTGCCTCTCTGCCTGCTTGTGATCTCTCTCTGTCAAATAAATAAAATCTTTTTTAAAAAAAATATGAAAATTTTCAAGAGAATACAAAAGGTTTCTAGCAAGAGATGGAGGCATTCTCCCCTTTCTCTCCTGTGAAGTTGCTCACAACCAAAAAGACTGAAAAATAAAAATAGAGAGTCCATCTTCTGTGAACTAGAAGACAACTAGTCCCCAAACCCAACACACTAGGAAAAGCTGCCAAAAGCTATAGGGATGACCCAGACAGCCTTCCAAGGGGGAGGAGGCTGAGATGGTGCCTGGTGGTGAATACTGTAGAAGAAACCAACAAAGCCTATTTCTTAAAACGTACTTTACACACGTTTTGGGGTTAAAAAAAACCCCGTTTGCAGTCGTGCGGGTATGGCATATAGGTTGGCAGCAGCAGCTACTCCAGATCTTGCTGGAGTATAGAAATTGATGGAGAGAGGTTGTAGTACATAGTAGCCTATACTGTGAACTAGAACACACAGTATATATAGCCATATAAATATACTGCATTGTGTTGTTCAAAGAAGAAGAAAATAAATACTGCTTAAAAAGTCAAAGGTGAGAACTATGATAGGGAGAAACTTATAGAGGAAAAGATGATAATTATCAGAAGAATCTCCTCTGGTTTTCTTCCATCTTGTGGTGTTTATTTTGTTTCAGTTAATCACAAGGCCAAACTAGCAGCCAAAATTGTTTACATCTCCTCTGTGATCCCGGCTTTTGTAACTAACAGCCTCCAACCACAAACCCCAACACTTGTGTTTCACTTCCTCCCCAGTAAAGGCCATCCCCACCTAAAAACTTCCCACAACTATAGCAATAAAGGCCTAGGGTTCCCCTCACTCTTGTCTCCTGACCAACCTGGGTGCTTCCCCATGTGGCCCTTTGTGACATGGTATGCCCCCTTCTCTTAGTAAATGTAATTAATGCTTTCCAAAAGTGGTTCTCTTGTCTGTCAACTCATACCTGATTAAAACAAATCTCAGGTACAAATTTTAGAACAAAAACAGCAAGAAAACATTACATCATGAAAAGTTTTTTTTTTTTTTAAAGATTTTAATTATTTATTTGACAGAGATCACAAGTAGGCAGAGAGGCAGGCAGAGAGAGGAAGGGAAGCAGGCTCCTCGCTGAGCAGAGAGCCCGATGCAGGGCTTGATCCCAGGACGACCTGAGCTGAAGGCAGAGGCTTTAACCCACTGAGCCACCCAGGCGCCCCTCATGAAAAGTTTTTAAAATAAGAGCCTAACATAATCATGATGTTAACTTAAACCTAAGTATGTCACATTAATAAATGCAAATAGACTCATCTATTGAAACAAAAAGATTTTCAGATGGGTTCACAAACTGTTGTAAGCAAGATACACCTAAATAAATGTCATGTATTATCTGCAAGCTAACTCTAATCCCGGGCAACTCAGAATACCACTGTAGATTAGAGTGGAGTGGTGGAGCTATGGGGAGTAGCTACCGAACAGAACAACGCCTTTCACGTCTTACCCCATGTTCACACTCTCACCTTGATTCCCACTGCTCCCCTGTTCCTCACTCAGTCTGCTTCAGTCATGATGGTCTCTGCTGGTTCTAGAACATCCCGGGCACATTTCCTGAGGGCTTTTGCACATGGTGTTTCTACCATCCAATATGCTTTTCCACCAGAGAGCCACGTGGCTCATCCTCCCAACTCATCTGGGTCAAATGTCACCTTTGTAGTGCCATCTTTCCTAGATACTGTTTAAAACTGCACTCCGCCCCCTCCCCCGCCCCGCCCCCCCCAACCCTACCTTCCTTCCTGCTTTGTTTCTCTGTAGCAATCAGTACAATCTAATATACTATGTAGTTTATTTATCTTTTTTGTGTTTCTTTAGTTTGGCTAGAATGTAAGCTCCATAGGGATAGGAATTTTTTACTATTATCTTCACTGTTAAGTCTCCGGTCTCTATAGCAGATAGCCCAAAGCATCTGGCCTTAGGGAACATTGGAATGGACCATGAAGATTCAGTTATGGTACCAGCTAGGTGACAATACCTTGCAAGTCTGGGGTACCATCCTATGTGAATTTCTCCAAGTTAGTGCCCACTTTATGGTTCTGTTTCTCCCACAGCCAGAAGACATGGGCCTTGGAACCAAGGTACAAATTTTAGAACAGTTTTACTGTTACTTCTAATGACCATTCATAAAGTTTTTGTTTTGCATCCCCATAAAATTGGGCTTTACTAGCTAGAGGTCTTACTATCTGAAGGAGGAAAACGTCTGTCAGAGGACACAGCAATGGGCCCACTGAAATGGAAGTTGAGATGGAAGTAGAAAACAAAAAGAGGATTAATGGGTTTACCTGAGAATGAGGGGGAAACTGAGTCACTCCTCTAAATGGGGGCATGGGGGACATTTCTGAATCTCAAAAAGAATCTTCTGGGGCAGCTCCTACTATATTCACATCCACCAGTAAGGGATGATGGAAGGCTACAGGCAAGATCTCTGTAGGCTCAAACTCCTCAGGAATGAAGCTTTGAGTCACTCCACAAGGTAAAAAATTCAGAGCAGCTGAGATGCTTACAGAGCAAAAAGGGAGTAAGGAATGGGAATGGAGGAAGATAGTTCTAAACATTAACAACAACTTCATGGCCCTCATGACCAGCTGGGGAGAGCTCTGCACTGTACATTAACCAATTTACCTTCCCCTCTTATTTTCCTCTCGTGTTTTAAATGGATTGGTAATTAACTTGACAATTTAGTCCTAAGGATAGAGGTTATCAAGGTGAGAATGCAGCCGAAACAGAAGAGGAACGTGTATCACATAGTCAGTGATGGGCCTGTATGAATAACTCTCCTTTTATAAAGGAGGGGAAAAAGGGTTCTTGCATTAATGTGTTATAGTTGCTATTGTTATACAGAAGGTTATGAATGGGTGGAATTTTGTATATGCATATTGCCGAGCCAAAGAGGTGAAGGTCGTGAATACAGCGATTTGATATCCAACCTTCATTCCTACCTCCTGGTAGGCTTTCCTATCACACAGAGACTAGGAAGCAAAGAAACCTGACATTTCCACACTCCTTTTGCAGCTAGCGTTCTGAGTGAGAGCTGGCTTGCACTGATGAGACGTCCTGTGTGGGATTTGGAAGGTGGAAGTGAGGAGAGAACCATCTTCCTCCAACATGGCATATGCAGTCAAGACATTTAATTTCTCTGCACCAGA